CCCCCCACCTTCTCCTGAAATTCTGCCACAAGTCCCGGCACAATCTTGAGCACATCTGGCGCAGAATTCTGCAACTCAGCTGCTGCATACAAACAACGGCTCAAACCTCCGGCAGGAATGCCCTCCACCTTCTCCCCGAATTCTGTCACTAGTCTTGGCACAATCTTCAACACGTCTGGGGCAGTATTCAACTGAGCTGCTGCCAATAAGCAACCGGACAACTCTTCAGCAGTCATTTCGCTTGCCTTCTCTTGCAGTTGTGGCACAAGCTTCGGCACAACGTCTGACGCAGCATTGGGGAACCTACTTGCTGCCCACAAGCACCGGGCCAGCTCCGCTGCGTTCATTTCAACCAACTGCAAGGAAACAAGGTCCACAACTGCGGGCACAATTCTCAACACTTCTGGCCCAATCGTCTTTAACTTGGCTGCAGCTGTGAAGCACCACAACGCCTCTGCATTGTCTAGGTGATTTGCCTTGACCTGTAAGTGTCCTACAAGTGCTGGTAGGACCTTGGTCACTTCTGGCACCACATCCTTCACCTCTGCTGCTGCCCACAAGCACTTGGCCAAATCTGTTGCGCCGATCTCATTTACCATGTTTGGGGGTGGTCCGAAGCATGCAGACATGACCTTTGCCAAGGTCGTTAGAAGCTCGGGCATCTCCGGTCCATGTCGTTTCGGACCAATGGTCATCTGGTGAAGCACCTGCTGCCGCAATTGGTGAAGCGCAATTGCTCGCGGCTGTGAACCCCAAAAAGCTGCAATATGATGATCCATTGGCAAATGCAACAACTGGTTGGCAAAATCTGACTCACTATACAGAATGAATCTCCTGATGCCTCCCACTCTCTCTCTCTCACTCCCCCTCAGCCACTGGCCCACAGTGGCAGTACAATCCAACGGCCTCACAAGAGAACGCCACCATGGTTCCAGGCCCAGTCAAGTGTCGCTACATTAGCCTGCAATGGAATTTAACAAACAAATGAATTGGATTGTCCGCATATCCACCCATAGTGGATGGCAAGGATAGGACCGAGTAAGGGACCCTGCCACACTTGGGGATGCTGGGATGGTGATGATTGTTTCGGGCTGGTTCATTCATGGGAAAGCTCCTAAACAAAAAGAGCTTAAACCTAGCTTTTGAGGGTCAAGTAATTTTACAAAGTTTAATAGGATCGCCAGCACAAGAAAGTCAAAGACACAATGTGAGCCTCCATACTGTTCAGGAGGAAGGAAGCTAATGATGTTTCTTAATATGGCTCTCAATCTGCATTCGCATGGTCACATTCTTCTGTGACTTGGAGTTGGAAATGATGCCAACATGCAGTTCACGTCCGCACTGTTAAATAAGTTATAATCCACGTCTGCCCTGCGCCCTTCCCTCATTCCCAGATATCAAACAAGTGCCTCTCACCGCATCGACGGATTGTCCCCACTGGGTGCCTACTAGGTAAGGCCAGGTGGGCACGAACCCTTGACGACACGATTCAATCCACACAAGCCACCACCGAATCAAAGACAAGCCACCGCAAGATCGTCTCCCATGACCGGCCTGTTAGACTGCACATGAGGCCACAACGGATGTATTGCATGGACCTTGCTGGAGGCGTTTCTGATGTTTCTGCGAACAAATCCATGAGTTTTAATGTTGGAATGGCTGGCTGCACTACATTGACCCAGTTGAACGGAACAAATGCCTCTTGAAAAAGGTGTGCAGCGTGTGGTGGTACCAACTCAATTTTGACAGTGTGGAAGTTGCATAAACTGATTCACGCCAATGCCTGTCCACCCTGCTATGTGTTGACACGTGTCCATTGCTAGGGCCTCTGCGGTTCATAGCCATTTTGCTGCTCTGCCTCTCCGTTCAGTCGGGTGCACAAGAAACGAAAGCCCTGACCACGTTGAGTAGTCCAATCAAATTCAATATGATACACAAAGACAGAATGGCTCAAGCTTAAAGCCACTATCCTCTCACATCGTCCATTGATCATTGAACTGTGATTCAAGCGGTATTCTATTATAATCGCAGGATGGTGCAATCGTGCCTTGCCACGTCTGCTGGCCGCACGGGGCTCATCATGCCAGCCAGAACGCAAAATGTTTACAACATCGCCCATGGCAAACCCGGCAACAGTTCAGCTGTGACAAAAGCATATCTCATTGACATTGGAAGTTTGCACCCTGACCTGATGGTGCTCATGTTCTCCGAAGCTATCCACGTCAGCGGAATTGAACGAACGTCTCTCTCTCTCTCTCTCTCATATCGCCAAAAAATTGGACTTGGCTCGATTCCCTTCGGCAATAGCAACGCCACCCTAGAGCCAATCTGGATGAGTGCAACGATTGCAATCATTGTGAAACTGCTGTTTGAATCTGCTCTCTGTGTGAATGTATACAGTCCCTCCTGGGAGCATCCAAATCTTGCGCATACTTGCCGCATGCCCACGGGCCACTTTTTCCGCCACTGGCAGGACATCAAAGGGATCATTGTCATCGAGTCACTGAGGGCGAGATCATCGCGGGCTCTTTGTGACCGCGGTGGTCCTTCAAATGTGCCTCCGACGGGGGATGGATGAGCCAATGAGCTCGGACGGAAAAGAACCTTAAGGCCTCATCAAACAACAACAATGTCTTGCTGCTTCGGGCCAACTGGTGGAAACAAAACCTGGAACAAAAACTGTGTAGAATCGCACGGCTGTTGCAATGACAGTGATTTTTTACGTCATGTGCGTCGTCTGCTGAAGTTGTTTTCTCCCAGCTGAGACTCCACAACCATCAGGAACGGAGGTGGCTCATGTGACTTGAAACATCTCAACAACGTCACGTGCACTTCCCTCCTTCCCCCAAAAACACCAACGGAGAGGTAGCCTTCTCACAGCATCGCAGGCGTCTCCCGAACGAAGGATCGCCCCCATTGGGCGCCGTTGGACCTCGGGGTTGACCGCATGGAGATCCAACCAGGGGGAGTGGAGACGATTCAAAGAAGTGGCTTCCACTTCTTTAACTTGTTTAGAACACATTCGCAACCTGGATTGCTTCATGTTCACGGTTTGCGCTCCCCCGGCTTCTCAGGCGATGTTTAGGCCACTCAGCACTCGCGACTTTCGGGTCGGCGAGTCTCTGGCTGCCGCAGGACGAACTCGAGCTTGTCGCCGGTGACTGATCTGTCGGAGGTGGGCACGGGCATGGTCGTGTATGGGCTAACTCCGCGCCGTTCTTGGAGGGTGATTTTCCCCGAAAGAAGGACCCACTGCTTAGCTTGCTTCAAGCCGTTCTAGTCTTGTTCTTACAGTTGGCCCACTCTGAACAGCATGGATCTGCCATGATCCGCCCTCCAAACCTCTGTGTGGCACTCACCTCACCTCTCATCACCTCTCACCTCTCATACCCACCTCTCTTCAGTCCACTCGCCGATCTCGCCCGTCTTCTTGGTGCGCAGCATGCCGCCGGTGGAGATCTGAACCCATTCCTCGGTCGAAGCGGCTCACGGGCTCACGGGCTGGGCGGAGGAAGGTTGAGGAAGGTTGGAGGGCGTTAGTCGTTCTGGGGCTCTTACGTATACAAATTATATGTCAAATAAAATCATTTTAACAATGACAATGAAATTATTTTAACAAAGTTATTTCAACTGATCAACATCAGAATCCCCATGCAACTGACTACTTTGGTGCTGATCGCATCAAAGAGTCGGCCTGGCATCGCAGCAGGTTGCCATGGCCGTCTCTTGAGACGTATTCCTCCTGCAGATTCACCTCCTGACAGGCGGCCATCCGGCCATCTGGCAGAGGATCTCCCCAGTGATCCAGCTCACAAAATCGGCTTTCAAACTGATTGTGAATGAAGAAAACTCTCCGGAATCATGGCAACTACACTGGGAGGGACACGTGTGGCACCACACGACGAAACCAACTTTTCCATCCGATCCCATCCACATCGTGCACGTGTTCTACATATTACACAAATAGCAACAAGGACGCCCATTAGTAGCAAAGGGCATCGCTACTAGTAGCTCTTGGCATCGCTGCGAACGGAGCAAGAGTCGCTACGAACATAGCTCCATCCAAGCATTTGGAGCCTAAGAGCTGCCGACCCGACCCCTTAACCTTCTCCCTCTCCCTCACTGACGAGTCCGTCCTCCACCAGGTCGCCTAACATACTGTGATTCACAAAGCGCACGCCCTGCTCGCTCCGGTGGAAGTCCCAATTGGGCCTCGGTGTCAGATGGATGAAGGACCTCAGTCCTGTCGGGAAATCAACGAAGAGTTGATAACTACGAACGCAAACAGGCCGAGATCATGTCAGCTCTTTCATGCTATTTCATGCTCCTTATCCCACCTGGACCTGAGAACTACGAACATTCAGAGAACTACGTGCCGTCCAAGGGAGGAAGGATCTCCACCCCCAAGGCCCCGAACTGCCTTTTCGTCGCTGCGACGCCATGCCCCATCCGACTCCAAGCCCTTCACGCCCTTTGACGTGAGACTGGAGGAAGTGTCTCAGCATGTCGTGAGAAGCCGAAAATCCTCCATTTGGAGGGCGTTGAGGGCACGAAGTGCCCTGCATCTCTGGTCCATCTTCCAAACAAAGGTGGATCTAGATGATCTAGTGCGCGAGAGAATCAATGTCATACACACCGTGCACCGTATTTCTTCCTCTTCACCGGGTCGACGGATTCCACCTTCATTGGAAATGCTCAGATTGGACGAGCTGCATCAACTGCTGCATGTAGGCATCTTCGCTCCTAAACGGGCTGGTCATCTGTTCCACGTAGCATTGCAGCGCGTTTTGTTCCGCCGTGTCGCACTCCACCATCCGCTGCTGCAGGAGCACAGCCAGGCTTTGTTCCAAGCGACCTCGATTGGAGCTGCAGTTGTGGCTAGATTCATGCACACTTCAATATCATTTATTAGTGAAAATCAGAGTCTCAAAGAAAAATCGCCTAGGGGGGGCGTCAAGCGCAGGGGAGTTACATAGATGCTCAAAAAGCTGGCAGTTCTTCAGCAGCCTGATTCGCGCTAGAGCCGCCGCATCATCTACAAAAGGTATCCTGGAGACAGCACAGCCGTGAGACAGGAAATGATGTGGCCTTCGCAGAGTCACTTGACGTTTCAACATACCTTTTCAACCGTTGTTGATCGTAACCCGTATCTCAAAGACATGGATTGGCCAGCCTGTTGTGTCCAGCATCCGTAGGCTCCATTCAACACGGCTCTAACCTGCCTTTCCAGTGGGTAAGCCAAGTGCTGCAGAGTTGAGCAACATAACTTCGAAATTCCAACGCAGGCCGCAGCCAGACAGCATGGAGTTGGCCAAGTTCGGCTCAAAAGTTTCATGACCTACTCGAGTCGTACAACCTATCAACATGCAAGATATGCAAGTCAGTCAACCAAAAAAAAAAAAAAAAAAAACCCATTTTTCAAAACACGTTGTTGGGAGGAGTGGAGCCACCCCCCCTTCAAGTAAATCCTGTTCAAGACAAACCCATCGTATCCCATGGTGCTTTTGTTTGGCCCAGACCCACAACTCAGAGTCTTCCAAGTTGTCCGGAAACTGGGTGTTCGCGAGAGAAAAGCGACACAACGGACGTCGAAAGAACATGTGTGTTCTTGCTTTGTGGAGGTGGGATATGCAAAACCACTTACAGCGAAGAAAGGCATCGGCTCCACTTCTTGGAAACGCACTGAACACAGGACCTTTCAAACCGACGTCGTTCGCCCAGCGGTCCGCAACCCTTGAGACCCTCTGGGTGATGCGCCATTTGGCCGCCAGGGCCACCTTGCGCTGGATGAGGCCGACCCCTGAGCCATTCCGGATGCGGCACGGTGCCGCGCTACGGGCGCCCCGTCTTAGCAGAATCCGAAACGTGGGTGGAGTCTCTTTCACCGTCTGGGCTGGAGTCTCTTTCGAAGAATTGCAGAGTGAAGCGAGTTGCTATGCCGTGCAGCTCCGTGCTAGGAGTTCATTCCAAACCGTGGCAAATGATGAGTAATAGCCCGATGTGTGCCAGCTGGGTCCAAGCAAAAAAAGAACCAAGTGATAGAAACTCTTCGCGAGGCCGCCGCTGTTGGCTTTCAGAAAGTCTTCCAAGCCCCAGGTGTCCTGAGATTGCTTTCGAAGCCCCAGAACCATCCCGGCGCCACCGCCAATCACGTTTCTTCGGTCCTCGAGGACTCTAGGCCCAATGGGCATGAGAAAGTCTCTAGCTGCTAGACTAGCTGCAAGACTGCAGCATGTGCCACACACATACCTCACACAAACCACAACGAATCAAAACGATACAAGGGACTCTGTAATGAAAACGGACTTTGCCAACCCTCGCGACCTTGTCAACTCTTTAAGAAGCCAAGGATCCACACATCTCCAAGTCCCAAAAAGGACCTCTAGCTCTGTTTCCTCCTCCTCCTCCTCCCTGGGACAAATGCCACACAGGGCGTCCATCGGGAAAAACCTCGGTGTGCCGCCCCAGGCATCGTTGGCTGTTGGCTACAACAAAACCTTCCCCTTGACTCTCACAGCGTAGCTACACCTCGGCACCCGCATGTGCCCACAATGACAATTGAGGACACGAGCCCTTTTTGTTCGACCCGCCGTTGAGGCGGCTCCACGCGAGGGCGGCCCTCCATCGCTCCAAGCAGCAAAGAATCCCATTCTTGCTCGTGATTTCGAATCTCCTGGCGGATGTGATGCCAGCTCTTGAAGGCGTAGTGCAGCAACGTGCAGCACATACATGGCGTCTTTGATAAGTTGAGTCAAAGAGATTGGCAAAAGAGAACTGAAATGTTGATGCCTCGTGTTGAAAAATGAGTCAACAAACACACCTTTCACCTTTCCCTTGCTGATTGTCCCTCTGCTACGGAAAGCATCCGGTGTTCAATTAGTGGCCAGTTATTCACGAAACTGGATTGTATACTCAATGCAAGCAGGACACAAACATCCTGCCGCAAGAAATGTCCTTCCTCCCAACCTTTGTAGGGGTTACCCGTGTCCCCAGGCGTCCTCTTGAATCTCCTGGCAGATCAAGAAGCATAAGCATCTTGGAAGGCTACGACTTAGGCCCCCCCTGCTGCTCTGAGCACGGCCACAAAACAAAGCTTTGCAAAGTGCTGCATGGACTACCCAAATTATGCAATGCAGCATCACTGTTTGAGCTGGTCTCCGAGCCCAAATCCACAAAGGAACCGCTTACATCAATTCCAAAAGACTCCCCTTTCTCTCAGCCTTGGATATAGGGCCCTCCTACCAGGATGGGATACTGCAACCGATACCATTCTCAAGGATACACCCCCATGGCTGCAGGGCATGTTTCTGTGGCGGATGTGGCCTCGGACTCCAGCTGCATGCGGCAGCATCGAGAGAAGTGGCTGTGCACGTCTCAGCTTCCCCTCGGCTTGGAACAGCCCAAGCCTTCTCATCCTTAAAGCCTGAGATGATTCCCTCAATCGAAACATCACTCCTCATCGAAACAGCTGCAGATCTTGCAACATATATACTCCAAGGGGTCATGCTGCTCACCCAGCTCCCACAGGATCCACCCATCCTCCGTCTCCTTCACAGATCCACGGCGTATTGCCGACTTGGAACAGAAATAGACGGCCAGGTTGAAGCTCAAGGATTGGGAGAAGGGCGAGCCATGCTCGGGATCCAGGCCCTTCAAATAAGAGATGTTGTGCCAGGACATGTTCTCCCAGGTGGTGATGTTGGCCAGTGCCAAGTAGGAATGGAAGCACACCAAACATGTGACCATTAAAAGCAAGAGGCACTTCACACCAATCCCCACCAGCAGCAAGGGCGCCCGAACCAGCCACATGGATGGTACGAGGCCCTTCTCTCGAAAGGTCATGCAAGATTCGAAGAGAAAAACAGCCAGTTCCAACCACTGAAAAATCAGGAACCAGAAGAAGTACACTCGGTTTCCCTCGCCCACACAAGTCCCCACCCAGGGGCAGTGGTGATCATGGGTCCGGATACATTGCTCGCAATCGCGGCAGTGCTTGGTTCGCAGTGGCTGATGCATCTGGCAGGCCTTACAGAAACGCAGCTTGGCCCCACTTTGCATGTGTTGTTCTTGCCAAGGATGTCTCCTCCTTGCACTTGGAGCACTTGGTTCCTCCAATTTGGGCATAGCCTCCGGCATAGCTATCACTTCATTCATTTCACCTCCCAGATCTTCCAAACTGATGATCTCTTCCCCCGGATCTTCCACATCTTCGGCCATCGCCTCCAGCTGTGCCCGGCCGATCGGCTGCAGCTCCGCCTCCGTGGCCCGCGCCACCTCCCGCGCCTTGGGCGTCCGCCAGGCGCAGCAGCACAGCCCGCAGGGCGCCAGCGCCCACGCGGCCGCGGCCGCGGGACGCGCCGCGGGACGCGCCGCGGCGGAGTCTGGACGCTCGGTGGGCTCGGTGAGGATGCCCGGGTCGCGGCACACGGTGCGGAGGTACGCGACGAGGGCCAGCAGCGCGAGGCTCCACTCGGCGAGGGCGCGCACGACGTGAGGCGAGGTGAAGGGCGTGAGGAGATGAGATCGGTGGAAGGCGACGTTGGCCAACAGCAAAAGGTGAAGACCTAATACGGCCACCGGGGCCAAAATACGCTCCGACGACACCATAGCGGCATTGGCATTTGAATTCAGGGCGTGCAGGGAATGTGATTCTTTCCTCTTGGAATTGGTGTGGGAGTGAAGCTGTGTTGCTTTGTATTCTGCAGTGACTTCCTGCATGCCCACATCTGAATTAATCAGCGTTTTCAAGTTAAAACATGCATGTGCCGTTTTTCATCTTTTTTTCCAGGTGCAGCTGTGAAGCAACGGTACAATGAAGGTATGTCTAAAGTCTAAAGTGCATTCTGCAGCTATTATCTGCACAGCCCTAGCTTAAGTCAAACAAGCCGTGCTGGTCCCAAACCAACGAGTATACAGCATACGTGTGGATACCGTGGATGATCTTCTTCTGCTGTTGCATTGTTGGGCCTCTTTTCTTCAGATTCGAACGGCGGCGTGCTTAGGATATCAGTGCACTTTGAAGACCTCTCCCGCTGGTTTCAATATTCGGGCCCCATCTGTGGTGAATCCAGCTTGACATGACAAGAAAGAAGTCTTCAAAATGAGAGCTACAGGTATGACGACGCTTCGCAGCGCAACACCGGAATCTTCAAACACACCCCACCTTCCAAATGCACACCTTCTAATCCCGCCCGTGGTCCTCATCTCAGGCCTCTTCCAACCCCAACAGTTGTGATGCTTTTCGTTGACAGGGCCGTCACGCGCCGTGGAACGTCACGCGCCGAAGCTCAGCACCTCGTCCACGCTGCTCTCGGCCTCCGACTCGGAACCGTCGGAGGCGTCGGCCTCAGATGGGCCGCCCTGAGGTCCAAAGCACGTCCCGGTCAGACATCAAAAAGGGGTACAAAAGCACGCGGTTTTCCGGGAACTTAGTACCTCCAAAGAAGCGGAACGGCACAGAAGAAAATGTATCAGATCTCCTTCCCGAAAGGAACCATGTCATGAGTCGTGAAAAACCTGAGGCAGGTTGGAGGCCATCGCTAGTTGAAAGCCATTGCCCATTGTGGCGGGGCGCCTGTGCACCCTTGCCACAGCGACAGCAGCGGATGCACTGCATGGGTCGGTGCAGCTTTGTAGACCGACGGTGCCCCCCCGCGACGGTCCCGTGGTCCCGTCGAAAACGCAGGTCCGGGTGTCGTTGGTAGGGCTCTCGCCCTCGTGGCATCTCCGGAAAGGCATGTGGTTTGTCATTGCTTGCCAGGCTCGCCGTGTGATTCTTGGCATGCTCTAGCTTGTCCAGAAGGTTGCTTCCGGAATGAAACAGTTGCCGTCAGGCTGCGGCAATTCTTCTAAGTTGAAGATTGTTGCGCAATGTGGCGCATCTCATAAGAAACAAATATGATCAATGTCCTGAAACTTGGACTATCGGTGACTAGCCAAGGGTTGCAATTGGCTAATCTGGAAGGGCGATTGAAGATAGTTGAAGGAATTCTTGTGTTCATGATTCTTGAGTCGTCATCTTGAATCGAGGCTTGATGTACCTTGCAGTCAAGCCTATGCTACCTGCTACCTTGAGAAATGTGCAGGGGCGAAATCACATGTTGAAGGCCTTGCCAAAAAAACACCTGAACACCCGAAGACACCTACCTAACCGTGAAGGCGTCAGTGGAGTGCACAACCCTTGGGTTCTTGCGCATGGGTTTTGCCCTGCAAATGTGCAAAGAACTGTGGACTGCTAAGCACTTGCAATCCTTTTTCTCCTCCTTTGCCTGGTAGGGCTGCTCTTCGGCATGGAAGGGGCAAAGTCTGCCCCGGCCTCTCGAGGATGCTGAATGCCTCGAATTCCTCAGCTCCTCTTCCAGTGCCCGGTGCCTCTTCCTGCTCCTCCTCCTCCTCCATCTGCTCGTGTGCCTCCTTTGCTCCAACTTCTGCAGTTCTGGTCGTTGATTCAGTCCTGTTCGGCATGTGAATCCTCAGCCACCTCAACCAAGCTGCTTAGCTCCTCTCATTGATCGTCTTGGCTGCCAGAGCAAAGGCATAAGACTTCTGACGTAGCATCAGGGCTTCCTGGCACGTCAAGAAGTCAAGAATCCATAACTCCAAAATGCTCCAGGCTTTTCATGCAGGCGAACACTGTCGTTTGGAAAACTTTCGTCAAGGGAAAGGGGGGTAGACGTCGCCACTGCCTCGTCGCGTCGCAGCTGCTCCACGAGTTTCCTCGTCGCATCGCGTGGATGGGGCATAAACATGTGTCAAAGCCGCACACGACATACTGTTGCTCACCTTTCCATTAGCACTACTTCTTCCTTGTGAACAACTTCCCGCGTGCGAACGGAAAGTAAGGGAAACATAGGGAAACGAATTAAGAGATTAGTCAGTTTCCCTGGTGGCTCCTGTTGCGCCTCGCCCGCGACATGTAGTGGCGGGTGTTATCCACCTTGGTCACTAACGCAGATTTCGCAGAAGAGGCGGGGAGGGTAAGACCTGGAAGTCTCACAGAAGTTTGTATGGTGCTTGGTGAGAGGTCGACAGTTCCATGTGCTGCATGCGATGGCTTGGGGCCTCCAACCTTGATGGCTTGGGGCCTCCAACCTTGGACCTTGGACATTTGTCCATCAAATTTCAATGCTTGACTGGCCTTGACTTTCAACAAAAAAATGCAGAAATGGAGCACACTAAAGTTGCCTCCTTTGCATGTCCTCTCAACCCATTTGTTGCAAGTCAAGGTTAGCTGAATTCCTTCACTTCATTTCACGTCTTGAGAGAACCCTGTTCAATGTCCTATTCCCAAAAGAACTTGGCCGCTTCGTCTCTGCCGTGGCACCAGCTCCACTCGGGCATTCTCCTCTTGCACCGCCACCCGCTCTGCCTCGACCTGACAGGCCCTCCTTGGATCGAGCGAGTCGTGGCGCTCTCTTCACCCGGCTTCTGCACGTCACGTCACCCGTGGGGCGCTGGTCTTGTGGTCCCTTCTTTGGCCCGTTCAGTCTGAGTCTGCGCTGCCTCAGGCTGTGCCATTTTTGCTGTGCCATGCGTCAGTTGCTGAGTATACTCCTCCTCCTTGAGACGCAGCAGCTGCTTCTCTGCCATCATCTCATGACCTCACTGGGCAGATAAGAAAGGCTACTCTAGGCCTCTAGGCATCCTGCAGGTGGAGACACCCAACGTCTCACCCCTCAGCAGTGCTTAATGATGCTTACTGATTGCTCGACGGCTCGTTTTGTCCTATACCTGCTCGACGTGCAAGCAAACCGGGGGCCGTAAACAAAAAAGGTTCATGTGAGAAGGTACTAGTAACAAGTGCCTTACTACTATAGTAACAAGAAGCTAGTAGAAACAAGGTTCATGTGAGAAGGTCCATGAGATTCCCCGTTCCGATCACTCGGGGCAAAGGCGACGCGACAGGTTCCGCCGTTCCACCGGTTCCGACCGATGCCCGGTTCGTCGGTTCGCCGCGCGGCGATGCTCCTCCAGGTCTTCCACCTCCCGTTGCAGGTCCTGCGATCGAATTGGCGAAACCAAAGGGACTCCCTTCGACATCACTGTACATTCTGTTCTTTAGTCGGAATTTCCTTAGTCTGTTACCCCCTATCGCGCCTGCAAGCGTTTTCGCGACCTGGCGGGTGTAGATGAACAACTCTGATCAACAACCGTGGCTGGCCAGTGCGGTCAAGTGTGGTGAGAAGCTCCTACGACTTCCAGGGAGAAAGGCTGCTAGAAGCATCATGTTATAGACGGATTCACGGGGAATGTGCAGAAGTTCAACATCCTGCCGGTGTTCAAGCTATCTAAAGACCAAACCAGTAGCGAAGCAAACATCTGCTCCAGAATGGTTCCAGTGCAACTAGTAACTAGATCTACCTAGGCCACTAAGAAATGCCAAAAAAAACAAAACAATGAGGACAAGATAGGACAAGGGGCCACCAAGCAGAGACTTCCGCTTCACGTTCTTCCAACTCCAATTGTCGTAGATCCTCCGAGGTGTGGCGGTCACGTGGCGGTCACGTGGCGCACGGCACACGGTGGGATAGTCTCCGGCATGCAGGAGGTGGTCATTTGATACGGCATGGCATGGGTTTGTTCCTTGTTGGGCAAACAAAAATCTCAGACTGACTGGTGGCTACTACTGAATCCCGATCCTATCTCTACACTATATACTACACACACTCATGCAGTTGTATTCCGTTAATTACATAAATCTCAACTAACTATAACTTGACTTTAACTGGCCTCAGTAGGATACTCAGTTGTTAGATCTGGCCACCAAAAAAAGCAAACCAAAGCGCTCCCCCTCTTTGCCTCCTGCTTCTCTGGCTCAGTGTGCATCCCCTGACTCAGTCAGACTGGCGCTGCTTTCACACGTGAGATGTGAGACCTTTCACATGGGTCGAAACCAGGACACCTGGACACACCTTGAGATGCCGACTGGCTTTGCACTGGCCCTCCCCCCACCCAAAAAGAAACGCTTGGCATCCCATCCCCAAGGCAAAGAACACAAAAGAACTGCCAGGAACCAGTGTTCATATCATCCATACTATCATCCATCTGACTCCAACTCTTCTCCGCTCGGCCTCGTCCACCGAGTTCCGCCACAGCTGCCGCAGTTCCGCCGCGGCCCGCTTCGCGCGCGCCAGGCCGTGGTGCACCTGGCATCGGTGGTCGGACGTGAAGCGAGTCGTCGTAGTGGCAATTCATACTTCTTCCCCCCCCTCTCTTCATGAAAAAAAGGTCCGGGATGGAATGCGTTCCCAATAGCAAACTGTGAATACCGTTCATCCCTCCAAGTGAAACATGGCCTGAGAAGGAACTGAACTCCAGAAACATCTTCTCTCAAGAAGTAGCCAACTCAAAGATTCAAAGTCAAGGACAAGGAAGGGCAAATCCATTGACACTCCGCGTTCAACGGATCAGCTCATCATTCCACGGACTCACCTGTAGGGACCGCTGCGCCGCCCAAGCTTCAGACCGACGCTCGTCAATGGCAGCCTTCACGGGGTGACGCCGGTGGCGTGGGGCAACACATGGCAACACTGCTCATCTTCCCATGGCCACGTTGCTTCAAAATCTTCAAACCCAATCAAAAAGACTTAGTCCTATAGATGTGAGAGAGAGAGAGAGAAAAACAAAAAAGAAAAAGAAAAAGAGCAGTGTTGGGCACCCGTTGGACGTGTTTTTTGGGGGGGGCGCGGGACACACGGGCGTGAACAGCATAGGCCAAGTCACCGAATTTCTCCTGCCAACTCACTCGTGGTGAACATCAGGTTGTCCCTGACGTGCTCCTCCGAGCCTCCTGCGCTCGGCTGCGGCCCAACTCCTCGGATGCCAAGCGTTCGCGCAGGCGGCGGCAGGCGGCGGCCTCGCTGGTCTGCTCTGCAGAAAGGCGCTTCTCCTGGGGGGCAGCGGCCGTTTGGATGGTCCGGTTCTTGATCCAGTTGGTGGTTTAATATAGATGACTGCAGATATTTAAACATCTTTTCAAGCAAGAAACCGGAATTGGCTGGAAGACTGTGACTTGTTGGGAATCCCAATCTTAAGGTATAGGTGAAGAAATGCGTACAGTACTCAACTATATTCAAACAAACGGTCCTTCAATCCAGGATTGCCATGAATGTGCAAGGTGTTGACTCGACCCAAACCACACCCCTTGCATCTTGTAAATTTAAACCAAGCCTGCTAAAAGTGTAGGTTATGAGTGATGTGCTCAATAGCAAACTCCCACAACTTGACTCCTGCAGCTGCCAAGCCTCAGGAATGTCAGCTGATCTTCTGACCACAAGCCAAAGGCTCATGAGGCGGACTATCCCAAAAAGAAAAGTAGTGCATCTTCTTCGTGTATCTTCTTAGCTGCTAAATCCACATCTTCGGCACCTACGCTCTTGTCTTCAAATTGAGTTTTCAAAAAGCTCCGAGTTGAGTCGTTTTCAGAAAGCTCCGACTTGCGCAAGAGGGATGTAGCGGATGTAGGGGTGGACATATAGCTAAAGTGCGGCATAGCTTCACAAGAATGAGCCGAATAAGTATATAACAACACTGTAACACTACCCCGTTTGCAGACTAAAGCACCTGCACAAACTGGGAAAGCCTACGCATGACTTGTGCAAAAACCCATTGCAAACAGCGTGCCAATCCCTAAGGATCGTTTCCATGTTGTGCCGGTCCGTCTTGTGTTGGCAGACCGAGGTGGATCCCCAAGGCGCCCAGGGGGATCCTCCAAGCTAAGGCTCCCCACCGCAATCTCCACTCGTAGCCTTGGACCAAATCGATCCAGTCCCAGTCGGTCCGAGTGCCCCCGCCCTTGCCCGATTCTGCTCTGAATTGCAAAGGAGCCCGTTGGATCCTTTAGAGGGTTCAAATGAGCTTCTGAGGATTCCACATCTTGATCTTGCACCATGCTCCAAAGCTGAACTGAACCATTGGACCATCCCTTTTCACTCACGCGCAGGCATGAAGTTGGCAGTCTGAACCGAGGCGTTGTAGGAAAATGCCTTGAGAGTTTGACATTCCAGGGTACTGATACATTCTCAGCGGCCGTAGCCGAGCTTCTTGATAGGGAGGTCCTCCGCCCATCCAGCCATGCCACCGTTGCCAGAGTAGCCCTCAACAGGAGGCTCATCCACTTCGCCGCCTGAACCACGGAAGCACTGCTCCAAGTGAATCTTGAAAGGTCCGAGTTGGAAGATGCCTGGCACGGTCTTTCCAGCCTTGCGATCCTCAGCACTTGGGCGAAGGCGGTAGCGGCGGCCCTGCTTGTTCAGCACCTTGAACATGTCCTTCTCACCAATGAAGAAACCCTCGGCAACCACAAGCTGTCCAATGCCGCGTGGACCCACCTCCATCTTGTCCAAGCGCCATCCGTTGCAGGCACTTGCTGGCTGCCGAGTGCTCAAGCCAAAGTTGCCACAGAAAGAACGAAGGCTGTCATAGCTCCACGCTGCAACTGCCAGCGCGAGAGCAATGGCCAACATGCGAGCACCAGAGCGCGCCATTGTTCAAGAAAGACGGGCCTCTAAATTTTGGACTGACTGCAAAAAAAGCTGCAGACCGTGCACGGTGGTATGACATGACAATTCTAGGGTCTGGAGTCTGGAGGCTGCAAATCCAAACAAGTGACTGAAATGATCACCAACACCAATATACAAGCGTTTCCTGCAAGCGTGCGGAACACAATTAGGATGATAAGGTTGAAGACTGGCTATCTACTGATTAATATTACGGCGTGCCATGTCAAACCGCACATCGAGGTCAAGCGGTCAAGACTTTCATTGCCGCTTCTTTTCCGACTCCCTTCTGCAAAGGCTCGCTGCTAGCGACCCCGCATCCGGCTACACTGCTTGACAGGAAAAATGGAACCACTCAGCGGCACCATTCTCAGCGGCCGTAGCCGAGCTTCTTGATAGGGAGGTCCTCCGCCCATCCAGCCATGCCACCGTTGCCAGAGTAGCCCTCAACAGGAGGCTCATCCACTTCGCCGCCTGAACCACGGAAGCACTGCTCCAAGTGAATCTTGAAAGGTCCGAGTTGGAAGATGCCTGGCACGGTCTTTCCAGCCTTGCGATCCTCAGCACTTGGGCGAAGGCGGTAGCGGCGGCCCTGCTTGTTCAGCACCTTGAACATGTCCTTCTCACCAATGAAGAAACCCTCGGCAACCACAAGCTGTCCAATGCCGCGTGGACCCACCTCCATCTTGTCCAAGCGCCATCCGTTGCAGGCAGTTGCTGGCTGCCGAGTGCTCAAGCCAAAGTTGCCACAGAAAGAACGAAGGCTGTCATAGCTCCACGCTGCAACTGCCAGCGCGAGAGCAATGGCCAACATGCGAGCACCAGAGCGCGCCATTGTTCAAGAAAGTCGGGCCTCTAAATTTTGGACTGACTGCAAAAAAAAAGCTGCAGACCGGTCATGCTCAGTGTCACATGCATCCAAATTCAAGCCCCAATCACATCTTAGGTAATAGCACAAAAGTCATACATTTCATATATGCTATGCTTTGCTTATACTTTTTAGTTAAACATAGTTTATGTAGTTATATCATGTTATACGAATATCACCACAAAACCGCACTCCGCACCACTCTAGGCGCCCCCGGCGCCGAGGCCCGGGTCTCCGCTCGGCGCTCGGAGAGCTTGGCCGGCTCCTCGCGACCGCGGTGTCGCTCCCGTCGACGAGTGGGACCCGAAGCTCATGTACTAGTAGCGATGCACTTGTTCCTAGTAGCTTCTTGTTACTACTAGTAAGGCACTTGTTACTAGTAGCAATGCACTTGTTTCTACTAGTACTAATAGCGAAAGAGTCAGACATGTACTACAGTAATAGCCAGTAATAGCATGTACTAAAAGCAAGCATGTACTGATAGGAATGGCCTTGAACCTACTAGCTTGACCCGGAGCTCAAGTGGGCACGTCTCGGTGTGACACGGGGAAGAAGATCCCGTCCCAAATAACCGATTTCTCTCTCCATCACCCTCTCCAAATGTGTTTTGATCGTTTTGCAAGCATCGAAGCGAGAGCTAAAAGCAGGTCCTGGCGGCAGAGAGGCTCCATAGACCTCAGGGCCGAATCAAGTCGTGAATTCCCCATGCGGTCAAGTCTACATGCCAAAACCAGTGCTCCAACGGTCAAGTCTACACATCAACGACGTCTGCAGTATCCCTGCCACGTTTACGTCTCTCGGCACCTGGCTCTCAAAGGCTTCTGTTGTCTTCATGATTGAATCGCCCAGCTTGCAGCGGAGTCGACATGGTCGGTGAAATGCGGGAAGGGAAGCAGTCGCGTGTTCCCATGGGCTCCCCATTTGCTCTCCGTGTCTAGCAGGGGTTCATGGATGAATGAGTGAATTGCAAGGTTGTATGTAATGATGACAGCTCAAGAACTTGTCCCTAGAGCACTGCAGCCTGTCACAATGGCCCTGACACAAAGCATGCACACAAAGCAAAAGTCCAAATTTGCTGCGTATGGCGAGCTGCGGCGAGCCCAAGCAAATTTCAGTCCTCTCACACTCGCCCTGCACAAACGTGCCCCTGTTTGCAAATGAAGGGAGGCTCGTGATCTTCTAAGTTCATGGCTGGGCGGGGAGTGCCGTATCATGCCGTATCATGCCGTCACGTCCACCCTCTTGGCCCCAGCCGACACGCAAGCCGCAAGCCTCGTGCACTCTTTCCTCGCTCAAATGGTCGTTTCTTCACCATGCGCATACACCTGAAACAGCAAATGTCAGCCTTGACAAGGGGTTCACTATGGTTCACTGCTGCAACTCGAGCAAGCTTCGCAAACCAGACTCACTCGACACATCACACGCTTTGAATGCTTGGTATCTTGGCAGTCGACTCCTTCCACCGCTTGGAGTCCACAGGCGGGGCCTTCGCGTGCGAAGCATCGTTGGCCAGCAGCACCTGCCAGGGCTCCTGACCTTTCCGGCTGAGCACTGACATGGCGCACATCCCAGAGCTGCCTGACGGACGGCAAATGATGGGCGACTCCGACTTCCACACTTCAGCAGATGTGAGGATGAAGGGTGTCATGGCTTGCCCCAAGATTCGGAAGGCTGTGTCCGTGAAATCGGTCTTTCAGGTGTGGTGAGTGGAACCTACAGCCTGAAGGTCAAGGCTATGTGTAGTCCCTCACTTGATGTGATCCAATGCCACGAGTGTCTTAAAATAGGAACGCGCAGTCAAGGACGAGATGATCTCAGGTGCAGCATCCCAACTGTCTTCTCTCCATATGCGCATGTTAGCCCTTGACACCACCCTTTAGGTATGGTATGTTGATCAATTGCATGTTCATATGGCTGGCACGTGAAGATCGTAAAGGAAGAAAAGAACATGGAAGCTTCCACTCTCACACCCATAAACAGAGGTCCGGAGTCCGAGGTGCAACACTCCCGTCCTTGACCCCGGCGCGGCGTCCGTGATCCGCCTCGGTATTTCTGACCGGACAACTCTTTGAAGCAGTACTGCGTGGGGCCGCCGTGAGAGACAAAGACCAAGGTCTCCTGGCGAGGCTCTCCTGGTCGCCCCAGTGGCGACTGGCAAGCCCGCCTTCCCAATCGAAGATCATGTGAATGTGTTTGGTCACTTGCATGTGAAGGACAAACTTGAGTCATGCCAAATGCGGTTGGCATCTACCCAAGCCCCAATGCATCCAACCTAGCGATCCAGACCGGCCCTTCGCCCACCTGAGGGTGTCGTTCCAGCAGGCGTAAGACGGCCGCACAGCACCGCTGGATGACCTCCTCTTGGAATTCGAAGTGGCCCCAGCGGTATCCCTTCCCCTCGGCACCCACCGGCACCAGGTGTGAGGGCGTTCCCTTCGCGGTCCGAGGTCGTTTTCAGGATCGGTGGTCCGACCGTTACGTGGGCACAGCTTTCGCCGCCGAGATGTCTGTGTCCTAGATCGTCAGGAGGAAACTGCCTGACCTCGCACGTTCAACACCTGACCTCAACAGTTCAGGCCAGTTCAGGCAATTCTTCCAAACATCTAGGACAGGCATCTCCCAGGACTCCCGACTGCTGAGCCACTTAGTTCCAAGCCGCCCGTCACCCAACCCGGGTTCCGCCAAGCCGCACGGACAGGTACATAACTGGCATAATTCTCATCCACACGGCGCCAACCTGCTTCCTTGAGCTCAGCAGCTGTCAGCAGCAGTGCTTGCAAGCCTGCTTGGGAATGAATGGTCCGAAGGCTGGACACCGGGACACCTACCGACCTCTAGACTCTACCCACGCCAAAGAAAACAAAGCATTCCCTGAACTCTTCCTTGTCCTTCCTTATCTCGTCGTCTTACCTCAACTCCACATACATTCACCAAAAGCGAACTCATCCAACCGAAAAGTTCTCGGACGCTTCACCGTCCATGGCCCGGCACCCTCCGTGGCCTTCCAGTGCTTCCGGTCTCAACTCCTCGTGCCGCACCGGCGTGCCCTGCACGGAGCGCTCCGCCCGGCTTTGCACCTGACCCAGCGCGAAGCACGACGAAGCGTGAGGCACGGGGTGTGAGGTGCCTGCAAGGGTGTTGATCCGAAGAATTCCTGATGCCAGTGGATGGGAATATGAATGGATTAGACTTGGGAGATAGACCTTAAAATCAATAGAATAATGTGTATTGTGGCTTCCTGTGTTGGAAACGATGCTCTGCTAGCGGTATTTATTTGTCTGGATTGTTTGATGGTCCTCTTCGTGGAGGGCTCATCCCACAAAACTGGCGCATCGGAACCGCATGCGGCGTGCCTTTGGCATGCCGCAGGAGGGCGGCCCTCCCCAATCGGAGTTGGCACCCGGAACCGCCCATTGCCTCAGCGACGAAGCGACCAGCTCGATAAGCGGGTGCTCCGGGTCCCGTCCTCATCCGCTTCGGGCTGAAAGAAGTTGGGACCGCTTGTCCTCACGATCCTTTTTTAGGGCATTCTGGACATATCTGGACACCATATCTGCTTCATATCAAACTTGATATCCCTTTTCTGGCAAGTCCACATACTCTTCTTCGATGGCATCTGGAAATAGGACCTGCCTCATCCACTGCTCATAGGCCGATTCTGTGAGGCCTTCCTGACAAGTTCTTGCTGAATAGACTCAGAGTCCCCAACAAAACAACAATATTCGTCTAATACTTAATGTATATGCATGGTTTGAAATACAGCTTAGTAGCTCACAAATACTATATATATATATATATACAGGGGCCGTTCTTGATGTGGTTGCAGGGCACAAGGCTGAAAAGCCCTTGCGGTCGCCCTTGCGCCTTCTTGCGCCTATGAGGGTTTTCGCATATTTTGACTGTTCTAATTGTTTTAATATTAGCAAGAAAAAGTGGAGCGCCGGGGCCGGAAATGGCCAAAGTAGTAGTATATATATAGTAGCAGCAGCAGCAGCAGCAGCAGCAGTAGTAGTAGGTGGTAGTAGTCGTCGTCGTCAGTAGACTGGACTGGCTGTGGCAGGGCATTCAGTCTCACGCGGCTCACCGACACCTGTGGCACCAGAGCAAGAGTCCGGAACAACTGACCGTGGGGATGGCGATGTAGGAGGCTGCCAACAAACCCAAATCACGTATCCAAGCTTTCGAGGCAGTGGCAGTCAATGGCTGAGACGGTGCGCACCCCTCAGGCGCCAGCCGAAAGTATGCTGGCACGTAATCGGAGCAGGTGGGCACAAATGCAAGTCTTGAGTGGTCTCTAAGTCACTTTCCGACAGCGGCCTAGAATCGAACAAGGTGCACCAACACTCAAGCTCTTTCCCAGCACCCAATCCGATCACACCTCTCCTGCTTGTGTTGTGATTCCGTAGTGACCTGGAAGGCAAGATGCAAAGAATTACATCCAATGTAGTTTACTCAGCACAAAAGCACTCAGCCCCGAACCAGATCTGATGTCGTTCAAAAGGGCCTTCTCTAAGGCTCTGCCAGGACCCACGCAGTTACGTATTGGCTTTTGAAAGAAAGTGTGGTAGCTGCTCCCGTTAATACACAATCCTATAGTTGATTCTGGGACGCTTCTGTGTCATGGGCTGGACTTTGTCAAGCCGGAAATCGGGAAAGTGAGTTTCATGGGCGTTTTTTGCCCCGCGCACGTGCGATGCTGGGCGCTTGTGCGGCACAGGGCTTCAAAGCAACGCAAAATCAAGTTTTATGGTTCAATGGCCCAAGAAAAGCGCAGAAGGCCTCTTCTCGCGTCACAGTATTGTCCAAAAATTATGGGATACTGAATGAGACAAAGCTGCGCAAGGATACCGCAACACTAGTACTAGTACCTTCAGGAGATGGTGGCCGTAGCGCAGTGTCACCCGAATGCTCGGTGAGCAGTCTCCTTGTGTAAGACCTGAGAAAGGAGAGGACGAAAGCCAGCGAGAGACCAATATGGTAATGCAAGACTGGGAAGAAAAATAGCGGAGCACTTGTTGTTGAATGCCTGTAGCTTTCGTGGAGCTTGTATCAACGTGGAGTAGATCAAGATCGGAACACAGCATGAAGTGTTGAATGTTTTTGGCTTTCTCAATTTTCCTGGCGCGGTGCTCTCTGAAGCGTCCCTGTTTGGCTGGTGGTCTGTTTGAGAACCCGGGAAAAAAGAAACGTCAGTTCTGTTGGGGACTTTACTTGGGCTTATGCCACTGGTCCGCCCAACATATAACCATAAGTCGCGGCTACACCTCTCGTCCCAGAGACATAGAGACACAGAACCATAGAGGCATAGAGGCATAAAACACAGAGACATAAAAGACAGAGAAGTTGCTATCTACACGGGCTCCGTTTCTGAGAGCAAGTTGTCGTTGCAAACCAACTAGCATACTTGCCCCAAGACATCCAAGCAGACTTCTCTGAAAGGATGACTAGGAGGATGGCAGGAACTATATGCCTCCAGAACCTTATATGGACCTGCCCCGCAACCCTCTCCCGAACCTTCTCTGGAACCTGCCCCGGAATCTTCTCCGGAACCTGCTCCGGAACCGTTTGCCGCACCTCCTCCGGATCCGCTGCGGAACCTCGTCCGGAACCTGCTCCGAAGCTCGCTCTGAGTCTGCTCCGAAGTCTTTCCTATGGCAGAAGACCCCTACGCTTCGCTGTTGGGAATGATGATTGCTTCAACATGGAACTGCTTGGATGTATTGGGGCCAGTATGACAGTTGGTTGGCAGCGACGAGCAGAAAAGGGGCCCGTGTAGATAGCAACTTGGTGGTGAAGAGATTGCTGTTTGAGGATGGGTTATAGTCACGGATCTATACAATATTTTTGGATGACGGTTGGTGACACCCGGAGCAGGTTCCACAGCAGACAAGGCTCCAGAGGAGGGCTTGGACAGCGAAGAGACTTTCTCAGTGGCGCTTCGTGCTGTTGGGGACTTTACTTGCGCTTATGCCACTGATGCGTCGCGGCTACACCTCTCTTCCCAGAGACATAGAGACACAGAACCATAGAGATATAGAGTCAGAAAACATAGAGACATAAACCACAGAGAAGTTGCTATCTACACAGGGTCCTTTTCTGATAGCAACTTGTCGCTGCCAACCAACTACCATACTAGCACCAATGCATCCAACCAGACTTCTCTGAAAGGATGACTAGGAGGATGGCAGGAACTATATGCCTCAGCATTGCGCGAACCGTCATCCAAAAATATTGCATAGATCCGCGACTATAACCTTGAGAGCTTGACTCAAGCGATGGGGTGCAGGATGTCCAAGGTTTTGGTGCGCACGCTTTAGGTTCGTACCCAACTAGCCTCATACCTTTACGCGCACGCTGACGTCTCACCGTTCCCAGCAGCCCGTCCGGCGCAAGAAAAGTGCTCACTTCGTTCGCTCACAAAGCCTCCAGCCACTATATAGACTAGGGTATGTTTTACCTGCTTTGCCGGTCCAGTCAATACCATCTATATAGCTTCTTTAATTGAAGTCCAACAACGAATGTAAATTGCCCGGCCGCGCATGCTTGGCCAGGACATGTCGATATCCTTGACTCAAGCGATGGGGCGCAGGATGTCCAAGGTTTTGGTGCGCGCGCGTTAGGTTCGCTAGCCTCATCGTTCCCAGGGAGTTGCCAGAACCATCTTGCTGCCTGTGCAAGTGCGCACAACGAGGATTCCGAAGCTCGAAACGGTTACATGGTTCCACAAGAGCCAATGGCCAAACCGTGCATTGACTGTATTGACCCGAAAAGTCGAGCCACCACTGTGAACATAGCCGCACAGCCGTTACTGCACAGCCACTATTGAACCAAGCGTTTTACACATCAGTATGGGACTTCCAGGGTTGGTGTATATAAACTCCTGCACTAGCCACTCTGGGACACGGTTTCGGCCAAGCCCTGCTTCTTCCACTATCTATCTATCTATCTATCAAACCAGCTCTATCTATCAATCAATCTATCTATTCTGTATCTATCTAGCTGCGCGGCCAAGCCGGAACAACGTTCGGCGCACGTGGACGCCGCGAGAAGCATCTGCTCGACCGAGGAAACGGCACAAGTATAGTAGAGACTAGGATGCCTGTCTCCACTCCAGTGCTCAATGCCCATTGCCCAATAGCCTCCACAGCCCTTCGTGATGCTAATGATGCACTACTCGGCCATTGCATCACTCGCATCACCAGACCCCATTTTCACTGCTTTTCTGACCCTCGCTTTGGAGCGCTCTCCCCCAGCAAGCTCCGGGCTCAGCCTCTCAAATTGTGCCTTTTCGCAGACCGAAAAGCCCTCCCACACCCCCTTAACTCACTTCGTTCGCTCTAAGAGCTCAAGCCTAGCCTATCGGCTGGCTTTCGTAACATAAGAGCGTGTTATAAACTAACATATATACTATATATATATATATATGTGCTACATATATATATATATATGCCAAGCTCCCCGCAGCCACCCTCACAGAGCTTTTGCCTGTGAGCTGAAGCGACAAGGGCAGCAGATTGCTGTTTGATCAAGGAAAGCGCAAACTGACTTTTGCCTGGTTGTTTAGATGACCCTGCAGTGAATGGTTAACTCTAACTGGCCAGCGACTTAGCTACTCAGCTACTCCAAACCTATCAATTTTTCTCGCGCGTGGCTATGCCCACACACCCTGTCTCTTTACTCTCATGAATAGGAAAGAATACAAAAAGACATTGAGGGAACGGAAAGTGGGAGTGCCAAGGCACGGTGTACTTCTGCAAGCTGCTCCTCTGGCTCATCCAGGCCGAGGCCCTGCGCACAATCCGCCGACCTCCTTCGCACCGTCGCCCACGAAGCTGGAGGTTGGTAGTGTGGGGATCCAGACCTGCAGCAGAGAGAGGAGCAGAGGAGTCGAAGGAGCACCCACAGGACAGGTGGCGGGGCGCCGCCGCGCCTCGGTCGCGGTACATCAAGTAGCGGAGGAAAGGGCCACGCACATGCAGCTCGGCGAGCAGCGTGCGCATGGCCCCCTCCGTCGGGTCTGTCCGGATGATGTCCTCAGCCACGCGTTGGAAAGTACCTGCGCAAACACGCAGAAACGGGGAGGGGGAGGGGCGGAGCGGTGGGGCACCTTGGTTGACGAGCTCGGTCAACAGAGCTCTGGCCACAGGGCCGATTTCAAAGTCGCCACTTTGGCCCTGGTGCTGCCGGTACTTGCCTGCAGGCGGTGGAGAAGAAGAGTGCAAAAAAGGAGCAGGAAAGGGAGGGACCGCGCGATTGCTGCAGCCAAGAGGATACACTGCTGCAGGCGGGATTGGGCAATGGCATGCCGGCAATGACAGCAGATGGAATCAAAGCTTGGGCGGCCACAGCAGCTTTCGTAGGTGACGAGGAACAGGGCAGCAGCCCTTCACCTGTGGAGCGAGGGCGGACGGAGGCAAGGAAGGACGAGAGCAGAGGGAGGGGGGGAAATTCTGTGCGGCGAAGGGACCATTGAGCACCAATCGTTGGAGCCAAAGGGCCACCAAGGCCTGGTCAAAGGTCGGGCGCTCGGCGGCGGCCTCAGGATGGGTGGGGCGAGATAGGTGTGTTCAGGGCAGAGGTAAGGGGTAGATGCTGCGGACGAAGGGCCGCGTGCATTTCCAGACTTGCGGCATCCAACCGGAAGTCCGGTTCGCACCACCAATAGCGGGCGAAGGGCGGCTGGGGCAGGGAGTGGTATAAGAAAACAGGTTTTCTCTATACAGGGGTTTCGAACGGCTCCCATATATATATATATATTATATATATATAGTTTATATATATATAGTTTATACCACTACATAGGCTATATGCCGTAAGGGCACCGTCTGGGCTACCGCTTTTTTGTCAATTTAAACTGTTTGAAGTTAATGAAATTGGAGGGTCAAACGTCAGGAACATCTTACACTCATGTTCGCGCAACGCAAGCTCCTCAACAAATAAGGAGTCGACGCCAAACTCTTCGGCCACCTCAGTATACATATCGAAGGATACAGAACAAAGGCCCAACATCAATCGTGGCACGGGCATCATATCGATATCATTTTACAGTGCTTTGACTAACTGCAACATGTGCAGACATGTGCAGACATGCGAAGATTACCCTCCCTCCAACAATCATGGAAGCTGACCACGACCCCCTTGTAGAGAACAATGATCTTCCAGGGGCCTGCGTTCCACTTCAGGTCCCAGGGAGTGTACTTGCTTTCCACGGAGGTTGTTTCGGATGACTTCTGTTCGAGCCGCCCAGTCCGCCGTCTCCACCGCACGCACCAGCGGCGAGGTGAAAATCCGCGAGGGCGGAGGCAACTGGGCGGCCGTCAGCACCTGCGAGCGGTGGAAAGCGCAGGCCGAAACCGGCCAATGCAAAGAGGACAATGGAAAGACAAACAAAGGCAGGAGCTCTAAATCCGCCTGCAACGAAATGCCGAGGCGTTTTTATAAGGCACGCAGTATACGTAAGCTAGCCTGGGCAAGCCAATAGCTTTAGCTAGAGGGGGGAGCATTTTCGCTCTAGAATCCTGTGTTTTTCACGGTTTTGGAACCGGCTTAAAATGCTGGAAGATGAATTCGTTCTATTCTGAAGCCCCTGGTGATGCAAGAAATGCAATTTTCTTCCTTTGCATGATTTGAATCATCTGCGCGGTAAAGCATAATTGGACTGAGGCCAGACATTGGGCTGAACAGGCTCCCCTAACGTGGCTCAACATAGCTTCCATATTGCCTAACATAGCCCTAGAAGTCACTATCTAACGGACGTGTCTGCGAGATAGGGACTTGAAGGCAAAACATGGCCCAACGAGGGCTCAAAAGGGACTGGAATAAAGCCCCCCCCCAACGTGACCGAACAGACGTGTCCGCGAGATAGGGACTTGAATGTCCAGTCCCTTTTGAGCCCTCGTTGGAAAATGTTACCGTTCCTTATCTCTGCTCCTGTTGAGCCAAATATCCGGCGAACGTCTCGAGCTACCTGCGCAAAAGATACACCAATTTGCAACGTTCCCACATTCTAGCGCTATGTTAGGCAATATGGAAGCTATGTTCGGCCACGTTGGGGGGGGTGACTTCTGGGGCTATGTTCAATGGAAGTACCTACCTTGACCCGTTCCTGGAGCATGACTGCAGTCTTTGAGCCTTCCCATGCGGTGCGGGCGGTTACCGTCGCGAAGCGACGTGAATAATCGAAAGGTGGCCAGAGAGAGATGGACAGGTTCATCATGGTTCATCACTGATCACCTAACACCATGCTCTTTGTGACCTGAATTGGCCTGAACAATAACTTTCTATAACACCATGCAGGCATCACCCACTTCCCATCCTCATCGGTCTCTCTCCGGGTCGGTCGGCCTGTCGAAGGCGCGTGGCCGCGCTCTGCGCCTGCTGCCGTCCGTTGGGCGCCAACGGCGGGTCCCAGGGTCTCGCGCTCGCCGAGATCCACGCGGCACCGCGTCCGGCCTCGGCACCGGGCGAGACGTGGACGTGGAGGTGGTAGACTGCCCACGTCACTGGGCTACTACTGGGCGTTCTAATGCAACAGTACTGTAGACAGTTGAATGAGAAAAAAGAAAAAACCTTTGAAGAGGATGTTCAATTCAATTGGAGGGGTGTATTCATCAAGAGTCTGCATTGCTGTTCTGGTAGCAGTGTCTTTGGCAAATGGGCACCTACATATTTGTTTGGGGGGTGGAGGCCCATCCCAACTGTACAGACCTGGGCTCTTCACCTTGCTCTTCACCTTGCAGCACAGAATTAGAGCCAATATGATCTGTTACAGGCCCTCAACCCCACCTTCTCAGCCATGTAGTCCTCACGCTCCCCATGCCGCAGCAGCACCAGTGTGCTGGGCCGCGGCCCGAACAGGAGCCGGGAAATCCCCAGGAAGCAGCGTCCCAAGCTCATGATCAGCGCCGCACGGAAGGGCAAGTACAATACGCATCAATTATGCGAATGTTCATCCAGAAAGGCCGATGTTGGCACCACGTCCCACGTTCGCCGGTCCAAGGGGACCTGATCGTGTCATACGGATCAACATGGATCGATGATCTGTCAATGAACCAGAGATTCCAAGCTGCAAGCCGAAAAAATGCCGAAAAGCACCTGAAACCGATGTTCTAAACGGAAAGCAGCGGTACCTCTGGCTGCCCAGCCGTGTGAATTCAGGTCCCACCAAGCTGTGCCATCTGGAGCTGCTCTTTTTGTTCATCCTTTTGGGGCGCAGCTTCGCATCCTAAGATCATGCCAGCGTGAGTCCAATCCACTGAATCCTTCCGTTTCCATGCTACAACCTCTATTCACTCTGCAGAGACTCTGCCTAGCTAACTTTTGATGTGTCCGGACCTACTGCACTGGGAGCTTTTGCTTGATCCTGAGGCCGCCACGTGACCAAACCTGGCACTGGGCACACTCACGCTCTTCACCGACGAAACCGTCACCAATTTGGGCCTACAACTCAGAACTGGGAACCGCCCTGCCTGATCCGACAAGTGAACCGCCCGACGGATATGATGCCCATCTAGAATCTAGGCCAACAAAGGCTGTGCCGGCGCTGAGACTCCTGAGACCGCCCTCATGTTCGCCTCCCCATCGCTCCACCGAAGCTGGGCCGGTGGTCCCCAGTCGATCGTGGCCTTGCGCGTATGCGAGCGCGCCACCAATGTTGAAACACCATGAAACACTGGGAGCGTAGAAAATGGTGAAGCAAGAGCACGTCGTAAACCTTCCTTTCTCTTGCCCCTTTGACAGCATCAGAACTTCACAAGTAGAGGGCAAGGTGAACTGTGGGATGCATGCCCATCTTAGTCTTTCATATGGATCTGTCCAAAATATGCTTTGTCCATGCTAGCCCTATACATGAGAAAAACAAGCACATTCTGGACGCCATGCTGCTAAGCCACGTTTAGGTCCTAAAATTCCTTGGGCTGAGACTGTATAGATCTTCTGCTCCATCTCCATTTCCACACCACCTGCAGAGCAAAAAGCGGATGCGCATATTGATAAGGCCCTCTACCGGTCTGTCTCGCAGAATACCATCAAGGCAAAGTGAGGCGCTTACGTCTCGTCTTAGCTGCTCTGACGCACATGATAGGACATGATAGGACATCTTGCATCCTGCTGACCTAGACGACCTGTTGGGTACGATCCCCCCACCGTGGGGATCACCGTCTTCCCGCACCATTCGGACCACGTGCCCGTCCGCCGTTCCGTCCCTGGCAGCGTCTCGGCAGTTGGCGCCTTCGTCGGTCTCCACCAGCCTCGTGGGCCGGGAGTTGTATGACCTGAAGAGCGATGAGCTGAAGGACATTGAAGTTGGAGGATTCGAGCCCCTATAGTCACTAGTAGCGTCCTTGCTCCCGTTCGTAGCGATGCCCTTTGTTCCTAGTAGTAAGGCCAGGAGCCCCCGTTCGTAGCGTCCTTTGCTACTGGAAGGTCAGTGTTCAAGGTCCAAGCGCCCGAGGCTCCAACGGGTGCCAAACCACACAGCCTCCCTGGATCTGCCCCACAGGAGCCTCCTGCAATCGGGACCGAGAATGACCAAGAGATGGCCGATGCCACAACAAACTATAAATCCCAGACACTCCATGTATGCCATATATGCCTACATTGCGAGAGTTTTGGGGGTCAATGTAGGCATATATGGCATGCATGGAGTGTCTGGGAATATTTAAGCCCTTAGGCTTGCAGAATTGCTTGTCTTTGGTTATCGGATGCTGTTGTGCTTGCAATGGTCCCAAGATCTTTGGTTCTACCATGCGCCATCTCCCAAACAAGCCTCTCTCTCTCTCCACAGTCGTTCGAGTTGTTCCCTCTTCCACGCCTTATCGACCCAGGAGCCCTGCAAATCAAAGAGCCGCTTGGGCCTCGAGCGTTGCGCGGAGCGTGTTTGCGGCGCATCGCGGTCTCTGCGCTCAGAGCTGGCCCAGAACACTGGTCGAACACCCCGTCCGTGAAGGGTGTCCTTCTCACTTAGTGCTTCCAAATGCAAACAAATCAGATTCGCTCCGTTCGAAGAACTTCCTCGCTCCGCCACCCGACGAGCAGGCTGCTTGGTGTTCCATCGGCGCACTCATCGTGTCTGCGGATGTTGATCTTGCGTCCCTCCGCTGTTGGTGGCGCAACGACATCCACATTCAAAAGAAAGCCGTGGCCCGTAATGACCAAGCCTGAGCCGCCTGAGTGAACGCAAAAACAACACTCAGAACATACTCAATACATAGCATCTACCCCTTGAGGGGACGGCTACTATGCATGTGTTTTGTGGATGCAGACTGCAAATGGATGGATGGATGGATGGATGGACGGATCGATCGATCGATCGATAGATAGATAAGCAAGGAAGAAAGAAAGCAAGATAGATAGAAAGGAAGGAAGGAAGGATGGATGAATGGATTTGTATACATATAATAGTTCGATCAATCCGTGGTGGCCACTGCCAGCTTCGACCTTAAAGAATCCTGAATCCACAGTGCCCATACCAACATGGTAGCTTAAAGAATCAGGACTCTGCCAACACATACTGGGCACTGGCCCTAAAAAATCGGAACACGTTGAGCACAGTGCAAACACGTCTTTGGAACCTGGACTCCCTCTAAAGAATGGGAACACCCACTCCACACACGTACCAGTCCATGATGATGACTGTTCAAGAAGGATTGTAACCGAAGGGATTTATCCATGATCACGGCAATCTACCATCTAATACAAAATAGGTCCAAACATGTTCAAACTTGTCATAACTCGCATCTGTGCGACCTCAAAAATCAAGAAAACTACTAGGACGTAATTTTTCTTACGTCCTAGTAGATTTCGGGCGCCAAGTTGTCCTAAGGGTTGACTGCTTGGGCCTGAATTTGAAGCTCAGCCCTTCAAATCTATCCACTATCCACATGATCTGGCTAAGAAAGTCAATCCGCCCAAAAAGACTGTAACGGTATAACACCTTAGACAATCAAATCTCAGTGTCTAGAACTGGTTGTGTAAGGGATGTACATGTCTAAAGAATCAAGCCCTAAAATGCCCTATATAAATACACTTTGCAACAATATTCCTCTAAAGAATGGTAAGTTGTCATGAATCTTCATCTTCATCTGGAAGAGTCTGATTTTTAGATCACATGTTACCATCATTTGGGGGATATCATGGGCCTATCCCCCTAAAAAATCAAAACCCAGCCACCATCCTACCACCCCACAAGTTCCCAGAATCCCCACAACAGAAGGTCGACAATCCAAAAACCTGTGAAAACTCATGTCTTTTTGATTTTGTATTGTTTTTGCAAGGCTTTGGGGTGAAAATGCACCCGCATGCTATTTCATGGGGCCTATCCCCCTAAAAAATCAGAACCCAGCCACATGTCCCAGTCTAAAGAATCAGATGGCACCCATGGTCTAAAGAATCAGGTCCCATCGTCTAGAACTCTGGTTGGGCAAGGGTGCATCCTGCCACCCCAGGATCCCCCAGGCATTCCCCTATTAGAACCTCAAGTTTCCCGGGGAATCCTGCATACACCCTTGCCCAACTAGAGTTCTAGACGATGGGACCTGATTCTTTAGACCATGGGTGCCATCCTATTCTTTAGACTGGGACACGTGGCTGGGTTCTGATTTTTTGGGGGGATAGGCCCCATGAAATAGCATGCTGGTGCATTTTCACCCCAAAGCCATGCAAAAACAATAAAAAAACACAAAAACATTAGTTTTCAATAGTTTTCACAGGTTTTTGGATTGTCGACCATTGTCGACCTTCTGATTATGGTGGATGATGAGGCAAATATAGGAAAATGTTTGAAGAGTGATCATTATTGAACATTGTGATGTTTGACATGCTCACTTTTGATAAAGGCTTTGCCATTGGATGCCATTGGCATTGATCTTCAGGCTGAAAGACGCGAGCGTGTGGCAAAAAGTGCATCTCTAAAGAATCAGACTCCGCTGCCACTCTAAAAAATGCGTGGTGAACTCTAAAGAATGGCCTGCTTTTTGACAACCCGAGTTGTCTGATTCTTTAGGGGAAATTGCGAGGGGGATCATACATGTGTGTGTGTGTGACATATCGGTGTATGTTCCATCTCTCCAAAAAAGCCCCGCTTACACAACCACAATCTGAGACTCTGGGCTTGGCCTGGGCACAGTTTCCCTTTGAAGAAACCTCGTTTCAAATAAGGAAGGCCACACCGGCATCCAAAACTTTAGACCTTGCCTTTGGCAAGCGACATGCAAAGGTCCAAAGTGATTAACTTTAGGCTGGTTTCACTCAAGCAGGGATTGTTGAGAAAGAGGTTGCTAAAGAAACCTATTGAGAACTAGCCAAAATAAGCTGTGTCGAGCCTGTTTGTCATACAAAGTTCCAGCCTCTAATTATCTGGCTTTCATGCCAGCAATGTCTTGGCGCTTCTCGAAAAATCGGATCCAAGCGTTCGGAGACGTTCTCTCGGTGGACAGGTTTGTATGGAAGTCGCATGATCGAAGGATGACAAGGCTTTGCACAAGAGGCCTGTCAAACAGATCTTGCGTGGGTCATGAGGGGAAGGTCCTGGGTCTTGACAGGTGGTAAGGTCTAGTCACTAGTCTAGAGTGTTGAAACATGAAAACCTGTTGAGACTGCTGGAAGTGAAGGCTGACTGATGCCGAACAAGTGAAGGCTGACTGATTCAACATCCACCGAGTATGTGGTTCTTTTATGCCCTGATGTCTTTTCGGACCGGTCTGAATCCCGAACATCTGGATGTCACCAACTGACCCGGCTCAGGCATCTTCTTCGGCACACCATCGATTTGCTTCTGATCGATCTGTAAAGAAGGCCACACCCGCTTGTCGTGCCTTGTGGGCAGTTCGATGGTGGTTTGCATGGCTCAAAGTTCGAAACCTTGAACCGTGAAGTCACTTTACATATTCCTTTTGATTATATAGCCCGCTCCTAAGAAAAAAAGCACCGGCTTAACTGAAGGGAGACGTTCGCTCCTAGCTACTTAAGCTACATTTGGATGCAGGACGGGAGCTTCCCCTGAAGGCAGCGGGGGGAGCTTCCTTGAAGAAGCGCTCGTACTAATGCTTTCGTTCCTACATGTTCAAGGAGCCAGTGCTGAATTGGAACTGGTATTAATGGGTCATTGTCTCAACCTGAATACGTGCACAATTCCCCGCCACATTCCCCGCCAACACAAGCACATGGACCAACATCACCTTCATCAACATCACCCTTTGCATCTATGTCTCCACGTTTCTCCACGTTTCTCCGCCGAAGGACCACTTTGGAGATCATCTGCGCTAAGGCCATCAGTGGCCGTGGGCCCAGCACCGCCGTGCGGCTGATGTTGCTGCCGTGGTGCTGCAAGAAGCCTAGGTCGTCAAACAGTCAAACGGTCAAACGGCCATGGTCAAAAGCCCGGCAACAGCGGGCTTTCAACCTCATCCCGAGGTTTCTCTGTGTGAGACGACCGCTATTGGAAGTGGAATAAGTAGCATCCTATCCTAGTGCATCCAAAAGTGCTTGTATTCAGAAGAGGGCCAACAGTGAGGTGATTCTATCTGCTCAACACGCTGGGCGAACTGAGCTGCGTGAGGGAACCGGATCTTCCGCCAGTCCAGGGCATAGCTAATAGCAAAAGGAACCTAATAGCGCCTCCAACCTAATAGCTTCTTGCTCCTAGTAGTAAGGCCAGGAGCTACTAGTAGCATCCTTGCTCCTAGTAGCGATGCCCTTTGCTCCCAGTAGAAACAGGAACCTAATAGCAATGGCCTCCAAATGCCTCCGACCTACTAGCGATGGCCTCCAACTGGGGACCAAAAGTTGGTCTTGCTCTAAGTGAGACGACTGATGTCCGCCGCAAGAGTGTTGGCAAGCACCACCTCCGATCCTGTTGGCACCCCTCGCAAGTCAAGCAAACGATTGAAAGCAGCAGTGGCAAAGGCCAAATTCTAGGATCTTCTGGGCATCAGAATGGGCCAAGCTGCTCACAATGGTTGGCACAGCCAAAGGTGAACAGCCAATACCTGGGAAGGCTGGCGGGCCAAGAGCCCAAAACCAGGAGGCTCTGCTCCAGAAAGCACCCCTCTGTTGTCAATGGAGAGTTTCCTCCCAAGGACTCTCCAAAGGACTCTTGCATCGATCTATATATAGTCATAGTCTAGTTTACAGGTTGTTGGAGGGTTTTGCAGCAGGAAATGCACGAATTCCAATGGGCTGGATGTCCTGCCCCAATAAGCCAGGCAAGTCTCCTCTGGTCATGTCCACCACTGCCGTAAATCTCCGCCCTTCCTCGAACTGCCCCATGGCCTTGGCAGGACTTGCTCAAGAACACAGCAGCTGTTTCTTGCCCTCCCATCATCACAAATCTGCCTAAACCTGTCTAAATCCATGTGAATTCCACCTAAAGCACCGAGGCTTTCACCTTCTGTTCGGTCGCTTCGCCATGCTTCGCCCGTCTCAAACCCGAAAACCCCCTTCACCCGCGTGGGCCTGCGCACAATCGTCCAAGAGCTTTCGGGTGGAGTCGCTGGTGCCAAAGCCAAAGAGTGTCATCTCGATGTGCCCGTCGTGCTCCACGAGGACCTGCCCAATCCAACGTGGAACAGTTCCATGAACAAACTACTGGGGGACGAGGGTGAAGCACCTGGGCGAAACACTTCTTGGGCCGCTTGGGTAGAGTGAAGGATGACTCAACTACTTTTTGGCATCTTATGGCCACCAGCTTCACTTAGCAAAAATTGAGCCACGTACTTACTTCGCTTGGTATTGCAATACTGTACGACCATCCAGTGACTTGATGAATACTCGCTCAGCATTTCAGGAAGTATTTCTACCCATGCTCCCCCGAACCCGTCCCACCTGGCAGGAGCCCAGGTTATCCTTGTAGGTGCTATTGGTCACCGCCGTTCTGAGCCCTGCCATTGCAGAGGCTGCGGCTCCTTGGCCCGAAGGCTCACGATGCGACATCAAGTCGCCCCCCCTGATAAGCTCGCCATCCAAGTCGTCAAGCTCACCCAGCTCACAACATGTGACCCTGTTGGGGGACCAAAGCAGCATTTGTTGTAAAATCCCTTCATTTTTCTATACGTTCCAGCTCCACCCCCCCTGCGAACCGTCAGTCTCTGCCTCCCCCCAGTCTCCGAGGTTCGGGTGAGGACCACACGGCGGAAGCCGGCGAGATCCTTGCCGATGGCGCTGGCGGCTAAGCTGCTCAAGCGCCGGGACTGGAAGAGCCGCCTGACTGGAAGAGCGTGGCGGAGTCCAGATGCATGGTGCAGGTGAAAACCTCACTCCGGTTGGGTGAAACGGGAGGTGAAACCCGGAGGGTCTTCAAGGGTCTTCCAAGGCACTGTTCACCATTTGGGACGAAGGATGCATCGAAGATAGACGCAGAAAGCCGACCCCGGTCATCCACGACGACAGCGGAACACTTGGCCTCAAGAAGCTGGGGGCTCTGATGCTCATCTGCACCTGGCATCGTGCATCATCGTGTCATCCCAACAATCTGTTCCTGGTTAAGCCCCAACACATGCATCAGTATATACTATTATATACTCATCGGCCAAGCCAAGAAAACCATTGAAAACCTTCGTTTGCAGGTGATGCTTCTTCACGCTTCAGGTCGCATCACTCTTCCCAGTCCACTTGGCCCCTGCCCCCCGGTGCGACTCCATCCGCATCGCTCCGCAACCCCCCAGCGTCTCGCATGTCCCCCCCGCTTCCGGCTCCTCCCGACACACCTCCACTTCACAGGCCGCTTGGCCCTCCACCCGCTGCAGCGGTCGGAAGGAGGCGATGCCCGCGTTCTTCATTCCGCTGGTGCTTTCCCAGCTGATGAGCTGCGAAGGCACCTGCACCGAAAGAGAGACGCATGCACCCTGAAGCCTTGAAGCCTCTGGCCATGGGGTCTTCTTGATGCCACGGCTCTATTCGGTTGGTCCGTGCACATGTTCTATGATCTTTCACTTCGTTTGCTCACAAAGGGGTGGCTGCATCTTGCCATGCTGACGGGCCATCCCATGCACCTGGCGTGTAATGTCAGCAGTCCAGGAAGGAGAGCGAGAAGCCCAAGGCCTTGCAAATGGTGCTGCAACAGGCATGCAAGTTACAACAAAACAGTCTCCAGAGCTGCTTCCGAGGTCAAATATTCTACAAGCGACAGGAGCCCCCGAATCACTGATGAACGTCTCTGCATGGGACTGCTGTGATGTCAGCACAGACCCAAGCCTGCAGCGACCACGTGCTTGAGCGCGTGTTGTTGTGCACCTCCACCTGCCGCCACACCGGGTGTGCTCTTGGGAACTATGGCATGGGGCGGTAGGTGCTGCTACAACTTCGTTCACAGTAGTAACACGGTGCCTGACTACTACTAATAAGAAGCTATATATATATATACTAGTAACAAGTGCATCGCTACTAGTAACTAGTAGCTTTTGGCTAGTAGCAATGCCTGCAATGCCCCTGCTACTGGTAGCTTCTAGCTGCCTCTGTCTCGTCTCACCCAGGCCAGCTTCAAACCGTTAAGTCCGAGCAACTCGCGACAGCATTGTAGACCATTCAGGGTGGTTCTGCCTCCGAACATGGAGCATTCAAGGCGGCAGCTTTTAAATTCTAAGTTAAGGGCATCTGTGAGGATCTGCAAGGTTGTGAGCACAACCCAATTGAAACATCACATCAGTGCTCAGGGGTGTTCATGGGGTTCTTCTCGGCCAAGGCCAAGCTGCAAGTTGGCATAGATTTCGTAAGCTTCACTGGCTGATGCACCAACGATAGTCACAGAATTGCCTCAAAAATGTACTGCGCCCGTGTTCTTCCAACTGAGTTGCTAAGCGTTCATCCCATGAAACTGAGTCTGCAAAGTACACCCGAACACATGAGCAGCTACATGGGCTTCCTGATTCAGTCAACCCCTTTTTCCAGGCTCTTCAAGCTGAGCACCAGGAAGCACAAGTCCGAGATGCCAAAGGAAAACCACTCCTCGCTGGTGCTTCGTGTAGCTGGCTGCCTGTTCGAGGCTGAGAGCAGTTTGAGACCTTCTCTCGTGCAAAGTCTATGACCCAGGTCCCCAGCCTCAACTGGGCATGCCAGACCCTCATAGGAACTGGTGAAGTGGAACTCACATGGTCGGAAGCAGTAATGGTGAATGAAACAACGTTCCTTTCCCCTTCTTTGGCGCCCCACTGGTCTCTGGCCACAACTGGAAGCAACTGGCCACTTCAACCCATCTCGGCTTGCACCGTAGCCCCACCTGTCGAGTTGGAGCTCCAATCGCGGCTGGCTGAAGGACGGGTGGAGGTCCAAGTAGACGCCCAAGGCGAGGAGAGCTAAAGGCCTCCAACGGGACCAAGGGGTACGGGTTTTGCAACCTCCAGCCACATCCCACCTTTGTGGCCTCCAACGTCCATGCAAAAAAGGGAGGTGCTCAATTGCTAATAAGTTGGGGGGAGTTTCAGTGGAGATGGCATGGTTTTGCACAGGTGCGTGTCGTGAAGTGTCGTGAAGCAGGTTCTGCTGGTGACAAAGACTGGGCCAAGCTCTTCGAAGATCGGACGGTGCCTATCCGGGGCCTATCCCGAACCACGCCTCAGCCTGCTGAAAGGCAGCTTTGGCATGGCGAACGCTCCCGGCCCTCTTGGCCGTTTCATGCTGAGAGAGTTGCTTTCTTCAAATCACAACATGGTCTCGGATTTGGTGCGGGGGGGCGTGTTTCTTGCTTTGCCCCATGGTTTTTGTTCGAGCTCTATGGTGGAATGTTGTGCCACAAGATGCCACAAGTACTTGTTGTTCTGGAACTCTAGCTATCAAATTCTGTGCTGGGAGGTGACACTTGGAGAATAGTGCTGGGCGGGATTTGCTGGTCCTTTTGCAGTTTGCCGTGCAGCCTAACATTGGGGCCATGTGCTGTTTGAGCCTGAAACTTTCTTCGGAACAAACAAACATCGGTCTCACATTCTACGAGGGTGGAAGATAAACAACAAGCAATCATCAACCAAGCACGTTCTTGTGCTGGGGCCTTCGTCTTAGAAGTTACATGAAGTTGCTGTAACATCTTGCCCTTCTGAGGCATTCCATCCACCCAAACAACAGGACAGTGCTCATTCTTGCTGGGACACCCCACGTGGGATATTGAGGCCGTAGCGAGGAGCCAGAAGGCCTTGGGATGCAAAATGGCGGATTGCGACAGAACACACGTTGAAGAGCTCAAATGAAATGCCATGAACCTCAACAAATCACACAAGCCACCTCTGTATCAGGCACTTGTTGGTTATGGTCATAGTAGCTAATTGGCCTTCTCTTTACAGCCACCTTAGACAAATCATACTGGAAGTGTAAGTTGAACATATTATTAATTGGACCAACCCTTCCAGCCTGCTCCATACACCTGCTTTCTAGTTGGACAACTCTGGTAGTCTTTAAAACGCTCACACAGAAGGTGCCGTTTTTTCTCCGATTTGCTCAATGGCTTTGGGCCACAGAACCGACCCGTCCGGAGGCCTTCCTTCAAGGACCTGCGCTCTCCCAACTCCCATCCCCATTTTTTTGTCACCAAGCACGATGTCGGCAGTTCGAAGTGATTTATCGGGTCGTGCAAACAAAGCCACCGGTGAGATCCTGGCTTGGAGCGCCTCCCACGACATGCTTCTTCAAGGTGCTGCCGTTGAACACGGGTGAATCGATCGGTCCACACGATGCGCCACGGATCTCTCTTGCCACAACCAGTGTCACCCCGGCCGTTTCGATCCAGTGGTCCTTGCTGCAACGCCCGGCACAGGAGGGCCACTTTGGAAGTCGGTCTTCACAGAGCTCACCGAGGGGAGACAAAACGACATCTGAGATGGGATGGGATGGGTGTGCAATCTGTGCGGTCAAGATTGAAATAAAATGTGAGACCGCCACGAATTGTGGGTGTTCTTTCACGGTCCGTTTTTTGGGAGGTCGTCTCTCGATTTTGACTCACACATACACACACGCACAAATCCTAAGTCCATTCAACTCGTCTCTCCAAGAGAGGAGACACTTGTTTTGACTTGGACATCACCCTTCTTGTCTGATCTTTCATCTGAATCAATGATATTGCCCGCTGAAGGTTTACTTGCTGATTGGTCTTCATTCTTCACCATTCACAGGTGCAAACCGCTTGACTGAGAGAGGAGTTCTACTGATTTCGGGGGAAATCGTTCTTCGTGCTGGTATTGTGACGCTTTTTACCTGCCAAGCATGAGTCAAAGGGCACCCTACTCCAACATCCTTTTTGCAATTGTGGAGGTACATCGCCCAAGCAGCATCAAAACGCAGCCAAGCGTTTGCCAGGTTATTCCGGGATAGAGCTTGGAGGAAGCCCCCTGGTCATTTAAAAAATACCACCCCAATGGCCCAATGTCTGATTCTCTGAGCTCCCCTCGATGTGCCCGGCTTGGTCTCCACCTCCCATGCTTTGAGCTACGAATCGAACCAGGCAACATAAGCGACCGCGGCACGAGTTCGTGCCGGATCCTTCTCGGGGCCTCGGACGTGGGCACTCAACGAGGGGATCCCTCCGCACGGTCGCACCGTCGCGGTCGCAGAGTCAAAACCTGCACAAAAGGACCGGGAGTCCTGAGATCGTTACGTAGGGCACGAGGTGGTCCTGGAACAGGCACTTCGGAAAGCAGAAAAAGATCTTCCTGAGAGCGTGTTGAGCGTGTCTGCCCAATCCAGGACTCATAGCGTTTTCAGAAAGTCTGCCACGTCCGAGCCTTTGCAGCTTTGCTCAGGCCTTGAAAATGATTGCTTTCAACGACAGAAGGTGGGCCAAAGAAGTTCAACCAAGTGCTCTTGAAGAACCTAGGACATCCTAGGACCTAGGCCGCTGCTTTGCTGGGTGCAGAGCTTCTCAGGATCCCGAATTCGATTGCTGGATTCCACGGCAGCAAAATGCCAAGGGGAATGGCAACTCCCGGAAGGTCCTATACCGTAGTACTACAGCACATGATTTGTGACGACTCATGAGCTGACAAAGAAATCAAGCTAAAGAGGGCCCTCTCAGCAAGAATGTATAAGAATTTGTAGACGGCTGTGGTCTCTGCCTTCCCCCAACCCCATATGGAATCCAGCCGCTGAGATTGTCGAAGCCAAAGGACAATGAGCACAACGGCACAACGAGCAAGAGTTTGTGGGTGAAAAATATCCGAAGATCACACATCTCCGACCTGTCTGTGTGAAAAATACCAAGACCATCGGGACAATCCAGCCTTTCTTTCCACTCCGCGAGTTCTATCCGCGCGTTTTATCGGCTCTTGGTAGCTGCTTCCCTGAGTACTTGTGCCAGGGAACGATCATGTTGATAAGCCTCCGCGAGCGAAGTTCCGACCGATCGGGCGAGTTCGCTTCTGTTTGTTTCGCGTCCGATCTGATTTCGGCCTCGACGCCATTTCTGCCGAAGTGAGAACACTACACATGTCACATGTCCACCTTTTTGAGTGCGATGCCTTGGGCTGGTTTTTGTAGACGCCCCGGTCATCACCCGAAAAATTTGAAACCCAAACGAAATCCCTTCACCAACATGAAAGAAAGGCGAGGTAGACTCTCAGCTGATTCACGCTCACATGAGTGACGGTCAAAGTTCAAAAAAAAATGTTGTGGAGTTGCAGGTCATGAGGATTTGGTGAGTGTACTAACGGTTTTCAGGTCCGTCATGTTATATATTGTTTTTGGTGAGTGCGTCATCGTTTTGAGCCAACTCACTGACCACTTATCAGACTTATCACGCCAAGTTCCGCTACAGACTTTGATTTTCCACCCCAGCCCATCAGATGCCCACTGTCTCACCCCTCCCCACCACAGCGAAGGGTGTCTTGCCGAAGGTGTTGCGGCGCGAGGGATCTGCGCCATTCCTTTGACAGAACGTGACACGGTGCGACTCTTCAACAAGCGTGCAAGCCGGTGTCAAGCTTCCCTCTCAGCTGCCTTCTGTCTCCAAAGATGCAGATCAGTATCATGAGAAATCCTACGTCATCCGTCCCGTTGCTATGGGCCAAATCTGCCACTTTTGGCTAAGCTTCGAGAGGAGCAGCTGGACAATTGCATGGCTCCCGGAGCGGGCGGCCATGTGCAGGGCCGTGTCGCCAAAGTGATCCTGTCATGGGCTACGCTGGGCTACGCTCTCCAAAAGGGGACTGCCTGAAGGGATCAATTGAATTAGGGTAGCCGGGCAGCCTGCTTAGCGTCCCTCAAGGTAGCCTACCAGCGGTGTTGAACCGCTTCGGGGAACCGCTGAGCGGCGGCCTTAGAGTGTTCACTTCGCCAGGGAGAGGACGGACTGTGTTTGTTGGTACGGTATTGGTTCGCTGAATTCCAAGGTTGAGCAAACCACCCGTCCATTTGGGTCCGCTATCTGCCAGCTCTGTATTTTTGTCCGGTCATCACCTGGCAGCAAAAGCAAGCAAACGTGCCAGTTCAGTTCAAAGGTGCAAACGCATCTTTCTGGTTTTGGAAGTGCAACCACCAATACGATAGAAATATGAAAAGAACAACCCCTGGCCCCAAACGCCCCAAAACCGCTAACACTTTTTGCAATCATTCTCGTGAACCCCCCCCAGCTGGGCAACACCTCTGCACAACCACCTTGCCAAAAGCACTTTTCCACCACATGTGCTCTGGTGCTCTGCCCTGCAGATCTGAGTGCAACAGTTTCTCGCACAGATTGGTTTCAGGGCTGGTGGGCAGCATTAAGGTCCCCTGATCTTCCTGTGACACCATGCACTCATGTTCTTTCACAGTCTTTCACTGAGTCAATGAGAAAGTCTGATGAGTTGATCCAACGGCCTCAAGTGGATTGATTGCGTTCGATCACATCATACCTGTGGCTGTCTGCACTCACATGCAACACAAACATGCTGCTCTAAGGAAGGTCCGGATCTCAAGCTGCACCTCTCACAGCACAGGTTTCCAAAGGTGAGACATTTACGTTTCGACTTCGGTGGCTTGGGATGTGTTTGTCCTCATACCTTGAAAGAAGACACGCACATCAAAAGCTCTTGGATCCAACCATGTCTCCAACCACATGAAACATAAAGCATCAGCAGTGATTAAGATTTAGTTGTGCAAATCTGAGGGTGTCACGGTAAAGTCTTCAAGTCGGTCCACGAAACGAACCTTTGCCACGCCCAAACTGGTTGGTCCAGTTTCTGAGCGCTCCAGCTCTGCTCCTTCTTAGTTGAAGGGTTCCTGCGTGTTCACCCGTGCCGTGCGTGCTGCTGCCATGGCAGGGCCCACCGGATTCGTTGGGCCAACCACCAGGTTCGTCATGGGCTCCTACACGGAAGCACAAATGGGCTTCAATCGGCAGGCGGTCCAAATCTCACCAACCAAACGCCATGCCGTTCAATGGGCTCCGGACGGATTTGATTTATGTTTTATTTTTTGTTGATGGGCTCTGGACCCCATTTACTTTCAGCATGCCCCCCCAAGAAAAAAAAACACAAATGATCAAATAAAGAGGCCACCGCATGTTATATGTGGTACCCAAAAAAAAATTGAGTGGTTCCTGGTGTTTGGGCAATTGTGGCAGCATGCTTCCAAAACCCAATCTGAAGCAACAGGCTTTATTCCCAGGTAGGAAATGCGACCACCAATGACCACCAATCTCAAAAGACCACAATGTGAGTGTTGCTTTCCAAAAAATGAAAGCTCCTTCAAACGAATGCAAGGAGAACAAAAATAACCGTATGTGTTGAAACCACGTGTTCCTCAATTACAGTATATATTTGTTATTTTTTTTGTGTTCGTGTAGTGCTGATTCGAGACTGAGCCACTTAGTTCTGTAATTCCCAAACCGCCTCACGCAATGCGCACCATTATTTGTTTGCCTATCTTGGTTGGATTAGCCATATCGGCCGTTAAACACAGCTTTTCCATCCTTGACTGGCGCCTTTATAGAGTTGTCCTAGTCTTGGTCAATGTCTGCGTTGTTAGCTCTCAATACTCGACAGTCTTCACTCTCTGGTCAATGGCCGCGTCACTTTCTCAAGCAGCCTTTCTACGCGTTGTTGGCTCGTGAGCTGCTCGGTCAGAAGAGCGGTAAATTTGGAAGGAGACAACTCAGGGTTCTTCAGGAGTGGCGACCTTGCAAGTCTTAAGTCAAAAAGTCACCAAACAGCCGCCGCAAATGAGCACGCAGAAAGTCACAGAGCGGCAGCGCGAACCTCCATCAACATGCTGACATCTGCTGGCTGGCAGAATCGCAACGCCTTACCCATTAGGCGAGTCGCAAGGGCAACAGCATGACATCGTCCAGCCATGCAACATCACCCCCCTCGCCATCGACGTAGCCAGCCCAGCTCAAGAACGAAAACAAAGCGAGTGACCGTGGACCAGGACATGCAAATTGGGAAGAGGAAGGGCTCAAAGCTACGCAAGAAGTAGAAAATCTGGTGTGGTCAACAGCAAGGTTAGTTTTGACTAGGCAGAGTCTGTTGAAGAAATCAAACTCGAGGAAATTTTGCGTTTTGCTGGTGCAGTAGGAGCTGAGTAGAAAGGAGGGCGCACCACACCTCATATATAAATCTTGTCCAGCTTTTTCATGCCTTTTCGAAAGCTGCCTCCTTTCTTTTTCTGATTCTCGGCGGTCTTGGTAAGGATCAATTATATAATAGGAAGGACTTGTGAAGAAAGGATAAGGGTCAAATTTAAAGACCAGCAACTCTATTTAGCAGCAGTCAAAAGGGGGAAGGAGCTAACCAAGAAGTGGAGCAGTCAATTGAGGACTCGAGGACTGCTTGACAAAGGTTGATGCTATATAACTTTAAAGTAAGTAGTTTTAAAAGTACAATATCCTCGGCTCAAAGTCGCTTAGCCGGAAAAATGCCAAATTATGAAAGGACAAGGCAATCTGGAACAAATTAGTCAAGCTTGGGGAGGAAAAAAAGCAAACTGCTCAAGGAGGGACGTAGCAAATAGAGCTTGCCAAATAGCCTCAATGAATTTTGAAGGGTATTGCTAGCCTATGGGCCAGTCAGCTCTTGTCCATCTGGATGTGCAATTCATCCTGTTCTTCAACTTTTTGCCCTTCTATTCACAATAGCTCTCCCTAGAAGGGGCTTTGGGTCCAGCAACTTCTGTGTGCCTTTGTTAATCCACAAAAAACTCAGAATCAAGGAAAAGACATGCCAGCTCAATGAACTCCCGGCCTCTGGGACCCACATCAGACAACTAGTTCAAGTTTGCCGGCTTTTTGTTGGATACCTCTTCCCGTTTTCTTGAGCTCCACCTCTACCCATCCTTCACCTCCATTCCTCACCCCCATCTCCATACTCTCCATGTCTCCTGACTCCAACTAGGCCGCCCAGGCTGTGGCCCTTGTGGCCGCGTAGGCTTCTTCACCTTCAGCCACTCCTGCCAGTCCCCGGTGCCACCAGGCCCTCCTCCACGCGCGGTATCCCATCCGCTGCGCGGGGAGGAGGAAGGGCTGCGCTCCTTGGAGCTATTGCCTTGGTCGGGTTGGTTGTAGCGTTCGGCGTTCGGTCCCTGCTAGTTAGTAGCGATGCCCGAAATGCTCCGTTCGTAGCTTCTTGCTCCTAGTAGTACGGCCAGGAGCCCCTAGTAGCTGTTTGCTATTGGTTTGATGGCCTTTTCTGGGACAGCAGGTAGGTAGGTTGTGGCTCTTGATGTTCTTTGATCGCTGCCTAATCCTACCAAACCCAGCATCATCAAACTGAGCCCGCTTCAAAAATTAAAAGACATCCAAGTTCACCGGTTCGCCCCACACCATTCAGACCAAGGGGCGCCATGGCCAAACACGGACCTCCAAGGCCCGTACCAGCGCCTCCAATCGGCTCACGTCCATGACCCTCGAGTTCTCCGACTTGACAAAGCCTTGGAACTCCACCACCAATTCATCCAAGGCTTGGCCTCGATGGTCGAACCGGTGCGAGATGCAGGGATTCCATGTATCGATGCAGCATGAACATTCATGGGCCATGTTCACCCTTAGCCCTTAGCTGTACGTTTCTTCCTCTTCGCAGTGCAGCCCCAGCGGCGAACAGACTCAAAGCGAGCATTGGCTATCAGCTCCACATCCTGCGCGCGCTTCTCCGCCATCCGTTGGCAGGTGAGGATCTCTCCCTCACGCTCCCTCTCCTGGCGGAAATGGATGTAGCTGGTGGCCTGGGTGAGGTTGGGTGAATGGTCTGGCAGAAGTCACAAGTCACCATGACTCCCCAACAAGCCACACAGCTACTCAGCTATGTCCAGCTATGGGCCCACCTGACTTCAAGGGGAGATTGTTTGCTTGTGTTCACCATCACCGTCCACATCCACCCGTCACACCACCCACCACCGTTTCACCACCATGTCACTACTGTTTTCACCTCAACTTCGACCGGTCTCCTCCTTCTCCAGCCGCGCACGCAGCTCCTGCCGTTCTCTCCGTTCCTCGACCACTTGCCCTTCGAGCAGCTTCAGCCGTTCGCCTTCGCCCGCGCGGATCGTCTGGAGCACCTGCTGCGTCCCGACCTGGGCAGACCTCACCAGGGGCGACGCGCAGCGCGAGCGCACGGCCGGACACCCGTGCGGAGTGGGGAGGAACTCTGAACTTGCGCTAGGTGAAGCCCTATACAGACCAGGAAACTGAGTGTCACGGTGTACAAGGCCAAGGGAACATGGAGGCACACTGCAGAATTGGTTGGTCACTGGGCCCTTGCCAGCCACCCAACATCACTCCACATCAACAGAAAAGTGGGACCGAGGCACGTTTCGAGCCGTTGCACTTCGGCCTCCACGCGGCCTTTGAGGTCCGCGTGACTCGCACTCTGCTGGGCCGCCTCGGCTATCGGACAAGCAATGGCCTCCAACCTCGAAGCCTTTGTTACTAGTAGCTTCTTGCCACTAGTAGTAATGGCCGCCAACCTACTAGCGAAGGCCTCCATCCTACTAGGTTTTTTTAGCGATCCATCTCTAACAGCCAGCTTGAAGCGGCGTCCGATGGTGTCCACTAGAGTCTCCAGAATCTGGACTCTCTTACTACTCTGCAGGCTATGAGCCTCAGAGAGTCCTTTGAAAGATCCTTTAAATTCTGAGAAGCCTGGCTGGGAGCTCGCAGCTCGCGGGGCCTTCGAGATATTCAATCGCTCGAACTCCGTGAGTCCATTTCCACCCTTTCGTTCGCTCGAGCCGCACTTGTGGCGAAGCTATTGGCCAACTCCACGGCCTTCGTCTGGCAAGCAGCCAGGCCTGGCAGGGCAGCCAGGTTGCCACGTGATCCGACCACCAACTTAAACAGCCCCATGCCACAAGAAGCAACGAAAATATCAAGGTTGGCAGGCACAAGAAAGGAGACCCATCAAAATCATGAAAGTTAGACCAACCAACTTTACATCAACGAAGCTTCAACGTAAACTTGTCCAACGAAACGAAACATGCGTACCGCTATTGCTCGCTCCCCCACCTCTCACTTCTTCCTCCCACCGGTCTTCTGACCGTTGCTTTTTCCCAATGTGAAACATTCAATGTCCCTTCCAACCTGATAGCAATGGTCTCCAACCTACTGGCGATGGCCTCCTTTCACCCCTGTTCTTCCCCCCCCCTGTCTGACACCCGCGCACCTTCTTCCAACTTGGCCGTGACGCCCCGGAGCTGCTGCTGCGCCTCCTGCAGCGGCGCCAGCGGCGGCAGCGCCTCGGTCCGGAGCTGCGCCAGGTCGCCGTGCAGCGCCTCGCGCGCGCGGTGCAGGTCTTGGAGCTGCTCGGTGGAGGCCGCCAACTCCGTCTTGAAGCGGTCCTCGGAGGCCCAAGGCGAGGTAGAGGCCAAGGCACGGAGGCTGAGCCAAGTAGGATTGCCAATTCAGTTCATCTACAGTGCTTGGTGCTATCTTTGAAAAGGTTTGTTCATCTACAGCTCATCTTCATCTTCGCAAATCGAAGTGAGTGGGGCGAACAGTTCGAAAACTACTGGAAAATTTGAGGCTTGCAACCAGGAGTGCGCGCCATTGGCAGCAAGCATCCAGAATCTACTGATCTACTGCCAACCAAGACACTTGGAAGATCAGGCGTTCGTACTCCGACTGCTTCAATGCACCTTCCAGATTCTTTAGGCGATCATTGAAGCACTCCTTGAAGTCACCAACCACCAACTCATCCTGACAAAATGAAGGGTTTTAAAGCGAAGCGTTCAACACCCTAAGCCCCCTTCCTGATCCAGTGAGCCAACATGACATAAGCCCAACAGCTAAAAAGTCCTCGCCTCTCTTTCTTTGGCATTGCCTCCCTACCTGACCTTCAACACTCTCCGTCCTGTTTGGTGGCGAAGGCTTCCGCCGCCTCTGCTGAGGCTTTCAGCTGGGCGCTCAGGTCCTGGAGGCTCGAGACGTTCTCCGCCTTTGACTCACTCCTCGGTTGGGGTAAAGCTTTCTAAGGCTTGATAGGCCAAGGCACCTAAGAACCTAAAGAGATGACTTGGTGTTGCCCCAAGCAAGCTTCAGAAGAACCATGGCCACTCGCTGACAAGAGACAGACGCTCCCCGAGCTTCACCAGGTTCTCATCTGTGGCATCCAGCCGCTGTGACAAGGCATCCAGCAGCGGTGTCAGCCGGGGCTCCACCGCGCGGAACTCTTCCGAAAGAGCCTCTCAAGCCCCACCACCAAAACAAGAGGAGGCGAAAAAACGTCAAAAATTGTTCTAAAAAAGGTTAGTTGGGGCAGTGCACACAGGCACTAGAAACATGTCCCGAGAGAATCTCGCTGAACAAAGTGATGTCAAACACCAGCAAACCCGTGTTGAGAATGGATATGTCAGACTGTCATTAAACATGTCAGACAGATTCCATCAATCCTCCCGTTATACATGTCTTATCATAGCTAAATTGCTCAATTTCTCACCTTTCAGTCAGGAGATTATATACCTGTATTTGGGGACCGCCCTCTTTCGCTACAGTGAGAAGCCCACGACACCACCGTGTCGTTTGCGGGAACGGCACGTCACCACCGTGAGGTCGAACAGTGGCGCCAGCCGTTCGGAAGTGCGCAAAGTAAACATGTTGAAAAACCCAAGCTCCATGTTCCGTTCGGAGCAACGAACAAGCATGAGCTAGAATCAACCATCAACCATTATCAACCATACATCAGATTGTTCACGGCGATCCAGGGCACAGCCCAAAATCAAGTGCAACAGAGTGAACTTCAAACCTGTGGTACACAGGACGGTGAATCTAGTGACCGCATGTGACCCACAGTCACGCACGCTTCGGCGCACGCCTCATGGCGCGTCTGGCAGGTTTGCTCTAACTGAGCCATCCGCTCTTCCATTCCTTGCTGGAAGCTGGTCACCTCCTCACGGTGCAGGTGAGTACCGACTCGTTCCTCGCTTCTGCGAAAGAAATCCTTCTTTCGAGTTCGATCCAGGGAAGAGCATGGTATCCAGGGAGTTAATTACTCTTTATTACTATTTACTGTAGTCTATAGAGGTAATTCTTTGTCATGTATATCCTCTCAACATGTGGCCAGAGGATCAACACCGGAGTTGATACTTCATCAGCGGGCTTGTTTGTGGTACATGTGGAAGAGTTTACTCTTGTTCTAATTCTTGTGGCTCTAGATATTCCTGCAGCAGGATGCCTGTAGAAGAATTAACTCTGGTCGTTGCAACTCTTTGGCCAGGGGTTCTTCTTCCAAAGGCAAGCTTGTAAATTGCACACTGCTGGGACCACTGCTGGGACACCAGCCCAAGAACTATCGCTGGATCTAATTCTGCCTCATCCAAGAGAAACAATTCCAAGGCATTAACTCTCCACTTCAAAATCGGTCGCCTCACACTCAACCAAGCAGTGCAAGACCCATGAAAAAGAATGAATAAAACTGAAGAAGCAGTTGAAAGGGATTCTTGTACTCTAAGTGTTCGATCCAATGGTCTGAAAGGATTAGGTATGTGACTGCCTGTCTTGAGAGGACAGTTTTGTAAGAGGGGCACTGCCAGAAATACGCACTTTGCTTGGAGATAGACTGACCCTGATGTTCAATCACGCTGGGTTCAGGGTTTCTTATGGAACGGATCGGCACACGGGTCTCTGATTGATCTCCTCCCCAAGCTTCTTGATCTGCAAGGAGAGAGCAGCTTCCTGGGGGTCGGTCAAGATGCGAAGCCGAAACAGCACCAGGCTGGCCCACAGAATTCGATCGGGAACAAAGGTAGAGAAAAAAACCACAACCTGAAGGTCACTTGCAGTCCGGCAATTGCAACGTACATTGGGCAGGGTGCACCTTTTTAAACCAAAGAGTTCATGGGAAGCAGCAAAAACTGCGGTAGACTTAAAGGCCCAACAGATTGAGTCGGCTGCCGTCAGTATGTTAACCGAGTCAGGTCCAAAGAAATCCCACCACACACGCCAAGTGCGTCCAGGCACCCACCGTGGCAGCACCTGGCTCTTCATCTCCGCCTGAAGCGGAACGAAGAGATGACAAGAAGCTATTAGGAACAAGTGCCACGCTACTAGTAACAAGTGCCTTACAGTAGTAACAAGAAGCCACTAGGAACAAGCTTCTGGGACAAGTCCCTTCCGAGCCAACGCTTTGACGAACGAATTCGACCGGAAGAAGTAGCCGCTCGAGGCATCCGAGGCCGGAAGACTGCTGCGCACGCTGCGCAGTTGCACGTTGCGCATGCTTACAATTGGCCGATGGCACCGCGGCGCACACTGGGATGGGAGGGACAGTCCAAAGTAGCCGCCGGCCCTCCATCCTTCCCGTTGCTGGTTGGTCTGGGGGCAAGAAGGCAGAAATTGATAGAACCTCACCCACGTTCGCTGGACCCCAAACCGGATTGGTGCCTGGTGGTTGCTGATCTCATCAATCGAATGCTGAAGGGACTGGATTTGCATGCGCGTCGAATCCTCGAGCTCGGGCATCTTCCTTGGCCAAGCGAGGCTACGATGCGGATGGTCTGCTAGTAACTGCTAGTAGCCCCGCTCTTCTTGGTGGCTCCAATGTTCATTCATGTTCATATTTCTGCCTCAGTTGGAGAAAATCGGCTCAAGAGTATCCCAAAAGAAGCCATGTCCCCGAGTTCTGGCAGAACCAATGATCCTACTCCCAAACTGGCAGAACCAAGTGTCTCCTCCAAGGTCGCTTGTGACTTGCCCTGCTCTTCAGCTCGGCCCTGCACGATGTACGATTCGTCTTTGTGAACAGATGTCAATGCCGAACTGGCCCATAATACACACACGTGTGCCTGTATACTTTAATATACTTGTAGTATGAATAAACATATCCATATCCATTACAATACTTTAACATGTATATCTATAGTGATCCCCTGAAACCAGTCGCTTTGCTCACACTTCGTTCCTCGTGCCCTCAACGAACATCAGCCCACCCAGTCCCAGCATGGACCCACATGGACCCACCAGGCCTCGAGTGCCTCCAGGCGCTCAGCGACTTTCTGCTGCTGCTCCTCTGTCGCTTTCGCCTCCTGCTGCCACCGCTCTTCGTCACCGGCACGCTGCTGGGCGCCCGCGCTGGAGAGCTCCTACAGGCATTGCGAGAGGACAAAAACACACAGGCGAAGGCTCCTGTCACTGTAGCCAATAGGCGTCCAACTCTCTTGCAGAATCAGAATCAAACATCCCACCGGCGCAGAAAGAAAGAAAGAAAGAAAGAGCTGCAGAGTATGTGAGGGAAGGAGTTGCCCTTGCTGTCCTCGTGGTTTTTCCTCAAGTCATCCAAGCCCTGGCAACACTCACAACATTCGGACTCTCAAAGCTAAGGCATGAGTACTTGACCAAAACTCCTCAAGTTACACTTGGTTTCATGGCGGGTTCACCACTTCACACTTGATCGCTTCTCGATCTGCGAAGCCCTGCTTTGCTCGGGTCTCATGTCTCGCCTGCTGAAGCTCCAAGAGCTTCTTTGCCAGGAGGTTGTGCGAGTCAAGAACCCCGGTGAGCGCGCCGCTGGTGCCCGCGGGCACAAACATCTCCTGCAAGTGGACGACAACCATCGAAAACAAACTCAAGAGATGAACCTCATAGCATTGCAAACTGTGCAAACACTCTGACATGGCGGAAAGCACTTGCTTTGACATCTTGGACCCCCCCCTTTTTTCTACTTCAACCACTCACGTCTTCTCTTCCTTCTGGTCTCAGTCCTCCGCGCTCACCCCGCGATCCTCCACGCCGCCGCCCTCGTCGTCCGCCATGGCTTCTCGCGGCGGGAGTCTGGGCCACAGCTCTCTCGGTCCGACCACGGGCGTTGGCGACGGACATGCGCCATGAGCCGAACCCTATGTCAAGCAAAACTGATCCGAAGCCCAGCAAATTCAAGGGGTGAACAAACCCACCAGTCCATTTATTGTATAGGTCCGCGATCTGTGCGCTCTGTTTTTTTGGTCGGATCATCACGTGCATGAGCCGTTATATGCAATCCAGCCTGGTATTGTAGTCAAAAACCACACCACCCGCAGCACCCCTAATCTATTCAGAAACTCGACCCTTCAATGGAGTAGGAAAACCAAAGAAGGGTGCCGAACAGTCTTCAACTTCTCACCAAGGGGGGCGAGTTTGGTGAAGATGCAATCACCTCTCCCTGGTTTTGGAGGTGCCACCAACAATGCGAGAAGATCCAACACACGGCCATCTGATCAAGTGTCCTTTTGCACCAAACTTGCTCTGACGCTCTGCCCTCAGATCTCCGTGCAACAGTTTCTCACACCGGAGGTTTTTCTTCCGGGGCTGCTAGGCAGCATCAAGATCCCTTGATCTGAATATGGCACTATGGACTTCTGCACTTTGATTAATCATCATTGTCTTTCACTGAGTCAATGAGAAGGGCTGATGAGTTGATCCAACGGCTTCAAATGGATTGATTGTATTTGATCGCATGGTACCTGTAGATGTCTGCACTCACGTGCAACACAGACATGCTGCTCTAAGGAAGATCCGGATCTCAAGCCGCACCTCTCACAGCACAGGTATCCAAAGGTGAGACATTTACATTTCGACTTCAGTGGCTTGGGACGTTTTGGTCCTCATACCTTGAAAGAAAACATGCACATCAAAAGCTCTTGGAGTAAGTAAGCCATATCTCCTCCAACCTACGCATAAAACAAGAACGTCATCGCTGCGCTACTTAAAGACTTATTCAATCAATGTATAGTTCGGACGAAGATGGATTAACTTCAAAATCGAGTACCAATTCTGTAATGTTTCTTCCAATCCACCAAACGCCGCTCGCATGCAAACCTGGTTTGTCCAGTTCTGCCCCTTCTTAGTTGAAGGGCTCCTCCACGCCTACCCGCGCCGCGCGGGCTGCCGATATGGCAGGGCCCACCGGGTTATTTGGGCCAACCACCAGGTTCGGCATAGACTCCTAGTGACGAGGGAGGCGTCCAAAACCCACAAAGCAACCCCAATCCGAAAGCCCAGGTCTGTCGTTCATGGGGTCTTGACAGGTTTATGAAGCATCTGTCTGCAAGTGTCTGTTGCAGGGTTACTTGAAGTCGGTCCACTTTGCATTGAATCCACGGTTTTCTTTTAAACCTTCACATTCCCATCCACTTCTACCTCTCCTACTTTCTCTCCTCTATCCGACTCTATCCCTGTGGCCCATCTCCATCTCTCCTGACTCCAACCAGGCCGCGCAGACCGGCTAGAAGGGCTTCGCTCCTTGGAGCCATTGCCTCAGCGGGTGAGAGATCAAAAAAGACATTTAACGTATCAATTTAAAAATATGACAAGTATTCAAACATATTTATCAAAAAAATACAAAAAATATTTCACTGATATTGACGTGTTGAATTGACAATTGAATATCAATGACAAAAATATTCCACTCGTATCAATTAAAAAACGCAGCCTCAAAAAAATATTCCAAGTAGCAGTAGGAGTAAGAGTAGTATTAGTAGTAAGAGTAGTATCGTGGTCGTAGTGGTAGTCGTGGAGAAACCGGTTCATTTGAGCCCCACGCAGCTGGACTCACGCAACGAGTGCAATGGATGTGGCAACGAAAAACAAAAAAGGACAAAAGAACTTATCAAATCAACAAAGGGCCAGAGGACCAAGGGACTAGCGGACCAGCGGACCAAGCGACTGTGGACCAGCAGACTGCAGGGGACCAGCGGACCAGGGGACCAGAGGACCGCAACGACCACCTACACAACTGGGAATTCCAAGGAATTTCATTGCACAACAAAAATGTTTGCTTGATTCAGTCAATATCGTGCGGTTGATTCGGTAAAATATGTTCTTGATTCGGTAAATATATGTTTCTTGATACCTATGCCAGATGTCAGCTGGGCGTTCTGGGCTCCAAGCGCTTCCACTGTGCCACTGGTGAGAAAGCTTCTTGCTACTAGTAGCGATGGCCTCCACCCTAATAGCGATGGGCTCCACCTAATAGCGTCCTTGCTACTAGCAATATACTGTAAATATATAATATATACACAAATTATAATATAGACTGTTTAAAAAAGAAAAATAAGTAAGTTCTGAAGTCATGTCTGATCCCAGTGCACCAGTTCACATCTCAAAGCATTCGTATTCAGACCAAGGGGCGCCATGGCCAAACGCGGACCTCCAAGGCCCGTACCAGTGCCTCCAATCGGCTCACGTCCATGGCCCTTGAGCTGTCTGACTTGACAAAGCCTTGGAACTCCACCACCAATTCATCCAAGGCTTGGCCTCGACGGTTGGACCGGAGTTGATACCATCAAGTTGCTGAGATTGATTCACCATCAACGAGTGTCAACTCTTCACCAAGTCTCAGTCAGCCCTCGACCCCGGTGAGCCCATTCTCAGCAGAGTGGCGAACGGATTCGAAGCGAGAATTGGCCCCCAGCTCCACGTCCTGCGCACGCTTCTCGGCCATCCATTGGCAAGTGACGATCTCAGCCTGGCGGTCCCTCTCCTGGCGGATCGCAGAAGTCAGTGGGGTTGGCGATGCTATGGGGTTTTTTCCAATGGCAACGAAGCACGAGCCACGAGAACCTTCCAAGAGAACTATCTCACGCCCACTGACCAAATACCACCAAGGACACCACCGGCTCACCACTGTTTCACAACTGTTTCAGCTTCACCTCCCCAAACGTTGACCGGTCTCCTCCTTCTCCAGCCGCGCACGCAGCTCCTGCCGTTCTCTCCGTTCCTCGACCACTTGGCCTTCGAGCTGCTTCAGCTGCTCGACGGCCACTTCGTTGGCACGGATCATCTGGAGGAGATGCTGGGTTTCGGCCCGGGCGGACCTTTGATCGGCCAGCAGGGTCGATCGGTCGGTCAGGTCAGCAAGGAAGGTCATGCTGGGAATTCTATGGGGGAATTCTCATTGTAACAAGGATGGGTGGCATTTTTGTGGAGGGTAGCTTTCAAGCGGAACCATGGCATCTTACAAAGCGATGAGAGAGAAACAACAAAAACGCATGGCATGCTCTCATGTGTCCAAAAAAAACGATCTCGCATCGCCTGCTCCTCACTCGCCCCCCCCTACACAGGGGCGAACCGAGGCACGTCTCCAGCCGTTGCAAGTCAGCTTCTACGCGGCCTTTGAGAGACCCTTGGCTGGCACTCTGCTGGGCCGCCTCGGCCATCGGACAAGCAATGGCCTCCAACCTGGAAGCCTTTGTTACTTGGAAGATTGTTGAAACCATTGGCATCCAGTGGTGCGCCCCTTGACAAAATCCCACCAAGTACCATCTCCACCGTTTCCTCGCTCAAGCCGCAGTCGTCGCAAAGCTACCAGCCAGCTCCGCAGCCTTTGCCTGGCAAGCAGCTAGGCCTGGCAGGGGACGAATTGATGCGTTTCCTACCAACCGATGCTATGGATTCACATTCACATCCAAATGTCTTGAACTATGTGCCAAATCTACACCAAACACACTTAGAGTCGCCAAATCACACCTCCAAGGACTTCCTCTCACCCTCACTCACCATTCCTAAGAGGTAGATGGCCTCCTCTCACCCCAGTGCACCATCTCTCCCGCGCACCTTCTTCCAACTTGGCCGTGACGCCCCGGAGCTGCTGCTGCGCCTCCTGCAGCGGCGCCAGCGGCGCCATGGCATCGGTGCGGAGCTGTGCGACGTCGCCGTTCAGCAGATCACGCGCCCGGTAGAGGTCGGTGAGCTGCTCGGCCGCCGCCGCCAACTCCGTCTTGAAGCGGTCCTCGGTGGAGGCGAGGCGCGCCACTGATGGAAGTGATGCTCGAAATGATGGGAGCAACACAGAGGGCCAAAGACTGCCAACACACTGCTAGGAGCAATCAAACGCTACGAATGTAGCTCCTGGTATTACTACTAAAAACAAGAACGCTACTAGTGACAAGGGCATCGCAACTAGGAGCAAGGACGCTACTAATAGTGATGGCCTCCAACCTACTAGCGATGGTCATAATTGAGTGCATTGTATGTCATCTACGAGTACAATGAATTCCGTCGATTGCGATCATCTTCCCAAATCCTGGGGGAGTGGTAAACAGTTCCAACATGTGCTAACCCTCCCAACGGCTTTGCACCAGGACTGTTCGCCACAGGCAGTAAGCATTGATGACAGACCGTGTCCAGAATCGACTGTCAACCAAGACACTTGGAAGATCAGGTTGACGTACTCCGACTGCTTCAATGCACCTTCCAGATCTTTTAGGCGACCATCGAAGCGCTCCTTGAAGTCACCAACCACCAACTCATCCTGACAAAATGAGGAGTTTTTACTGATCCAGGGGCCCAACACAAGCCCAACAACGAAAAATTCCTCGCCGCTCTTTCTTTGGCATTGCCTATCTGCCTGACCTTCAACACTCTCCTTGGCACTACAGTCCTGTTTGTTGGCGAAGGCTTCCGCCGCCTCTGCTGAGGCTTTCAGCTGAGCGCTCAGCTGCTCGAGGCTCGCGACGTTCTCCGCCGTTGACTCACTCCTCGGTGGGGGGGATAAAGTGCTAAAGCTTTCTAAGGCTTGACAGGCCCCAAGGCACCTAAGAACCAAAAGAGACGACTTGACTTGGTGTTGTCCAAATGCAAGCGTATCTTGCTTCACAACAGTCCATCTGTCAATACCCCTTGCCATTGTCAAAAAGCAATCAAAGGCAACCCACAAGCTTTAGAAAATCACGGCCACTCGCTGACAAGAGACAGACGCTCCCCGAGCTTCGCGAGGTTATCGTCTGTGGCATCCAGACGCTGCTTCAAGGCATCCAGCAGCGGTGTCAGCCGGGGCTCCACCGCGCGGAACTCTTCCGCAAGCGCCTCTCAAGCCCCACCACCAAAACAAGAGGAGGCGGAAAAAGACATGAAACATTGTTCTAAAAGGTTCGTTTGGGGCAGTGCACACAGGCACTAGAAACATGTCCCGAGAGAATCTCGCTGAACAAAGTGATGTCAAACATCAGGAATGGATATGGGATTAAACAGGTCGCACTCATTCAATCATTCGATTAATCGTTAAAACTTCAATCTTCAGCATGTTGTTCATGGTCTTGATTGCAGGTCAAGCCTTGCCTGAGGAAATAATACAGCGGTCACCGGTCTACACAAATGATCAAAGCAGCTTCGACGTGACATTGGTGACTACTAGTGTGGTCCATAATCTGAGCAATGAAGTTGAGGATGAGGGGAGGCCACGGGTTGTTCAAAGGATCTGAAACACATGTTCCCACCACCGCTGCCACGCTGCCATCTCCGCCGCTTCGGCGCACGCCTCATGGCGCGTGTTGCCGGTTTTCTCTAACTCAGCCATCCGATCCTCCATTCCTTGCTTGAAGCTGGTCACCTCCTCACCACGCTGGTTCGGCACTGTAGGCTGACGGTGATTTCAAATTGTACGCTGGCAGGGTTCGGGGGTCTCTTAAGGAACGGGTCGACACACTGCAACACGCTATATTACTGTGTTCTTTCTGTGATCCCGCATCTCCTCCCCAAGCTTCTTGATCTGCACGGAGAGAGCAGCTTCCTTGGGTTATTCAAGATGTGAAGCCGAAACAATGCTAGGCTGGCCCACAGAATTCTTAAATCGGGCTCCTCGGAGTAGGGGTATCAGCAAAGATGCCGCTGCATATGCTTAGCTTAACTGAAGTCACGTCTAGTCCGCCAAAGGCACATACATTGGGCAAGGTGCACCTTGTTTAAGCAAATAGTTCATGGGAAGCAGCAAAAAAACTGCGGTAGACTTAAAGGCCCAACAGATTGAGATGGCTGCCGTCAGCATGTTAACCGAGTCCGGTGCAAAGAAATCCAACCACACACGCCAAGTGCGTCCAGGCACCCACTCCGGCAGAACCTTGCTCATCATCTCCTCCTGAAGTGTGCCCAAGGGGCAGCATTGCCGTGCAATCAGTTCATTGCACTGGTCCAATCTATGGAAGAAACAGCCTGTGAGCTATCCACAGGAGACTGTGATATGCTTGTCCACAGGCCACAGGTGTTCACGGCATTTGTTGGCACGTCCTGCACTCTTTGCCCCACCCGCCGAATCAACACAGTTGGGCGAATCCGCAACTACCCAATGTCTATCTTAATCTCAGCGACAGGCACTCAGAGGAGCATTCTCACCCGCGACAGCCGCACCCCCAAACCAGATCGGCGCCTCCTTTTTGAGGATCTCACCAATCGATTTCTGAAGGCCCTCGATCTGCTCGCGCTTCTCCTCCAGTTCGGGAATCTTCCTTGGATCGCTGTGAAAAACCAAACGGCGCCAAAACCCGGAACCAAATCGTCCCAGCATCCTGTCCGGGCCCCTTCAGCCAGCACATAGGCACAGCGGCCAGTCGGCTACGAGAGAATCCGTCCGAATTCTGGCAGAACCAATGATCCTACTCCCAAACCTGGCCCAAGTGTCTCTTTCAAGGTCTCTTGTGTCTTGCCCTGCTCTGCAACTTGGTCCTGGAGCACACAGATCTATGATATTCTATGATCAACGAATGCAGTGGAAGTCTTGCTGACCAAGCTTCAATGCTGATCTGGCCCATGACTGACTCAAAAAAGAATGTGATGCGCTTCAATCTAGGCGACCATACCATACATCACAATCCATCCCCAACACCCTGCACCAGGCCTCAAGTGTCTTGAGCCGCTCAGCCATGTTCTGCTGCTGCTCCTCGGCGGCTTTCGCTTCCTGCTGCCTCCGCTCTTCATCAAGCGCACGCTGCTGTGCAGCCTCCTGGGGGTCATCTCAAGCCACAGTCAGGCTGTCATCAGCCTATCATGAGAGTATGTCAATGTGACTCTGATGGGGAGGTCAAGGAAGGAGGGTAAAAGGGGGAAGACTGCTTTGAAGGAGTGGCCCTTGTCCTCTTCTTTCTTCTTCCATTCATCAAAGCCCTGGCACTCGCAACACTCGGACTCTTGAAGCTAAGGCAGCTTTCTCAGCTTGATGAATCCCTTTAAAATCTCTTCAATTTGACCTTCTTTCATGAAACTTTCATGCCTTGATGATGGATTGCCCCCATTGATCTCGTACACTGGTCCCAGTGTCATTAAGCATTGGGAAAAACTGTGTCGCATCCAATTTGGCAGAGCATGCAATAGCCAATGCGCTGGTTCATGGCTTTGCGCCTGCTGAAGCTCCAAGAACTTCTTCGCGAGGGCGTTGTGGGAGGAAAGAACCCCCTGCAACGCGCTATCGGAGATGATTATCTCCTGCAGCGGGCCCAAGCCATGTCAGAACTGAAGAGAAGAACTCATCAAAACATCTCAATCACCAATCTGTTCTGCCGGATGTTGCAGAATGCACGTGCTTCTCTAACAGAAGTGCAACCACTCATGACTCATCTCTCCGTTTCTTTTGGGCCCTTCCCCCCCTCGTGGCTCACCCCGCCATCCTCTGCGCCGTCGCCATCGCCCGCCATGGCTTCTCGCGTCCGGACCGTCCGGGCCACCGGAACTTGCGGCCACGGCGAAGCGGTCGCGACGTGGAGACCGAGACCATGGACTTGCTGGTTATGGCGACACGCCGGCTCGGTCGGGGGTGACCTCTCAGAATCGCCTCCAAAAGAGTTGGAGGACAAAACGTGTTCTACTATGTTCTGCAGGTGTTTTGGGAGCTGGGGTTTGCCAAGTAAGACTGTAAGGAAGCTGTTCACCATTTTGTGAGGAATTGAAGATCAATATGGATCAACTAGTAACAAGAAGCTACTAGAACTAGGTAACTAGGGGGAAAACATTGTGATCAAACCATCATTGAAAAGCACTGTGCTTTGACCAACCCATCTTTCCAAAGCACGGTGTTTTCGCTCCAGGAGGCCAACTTCCACCACACCTGCGCATGCACGTCGAAGCCGCGCTTGAGGAGCTCCACCACGTCCTGCTGGTCTGGTGACATGTCGTTTGCAGGAAGCTTATGCGCCTACAAAGCCCAAAAGATCCGTTCCTATAATATATCGATTATCCATTCCTCTCCAATTCCTATACTATCTTTACAGATTGGATGATGTATGATGACCTCAAGCAGGATTGCAACAAGCATTTCAAACGACCCTGCCACGGAAGTCTCGCATTGGCACGGGCGTGCCGCGTCGCTCCATCACCATCCCGGCGTGACGCGGCTCCTCCAGGTGACAATTGTGCGCCGCCAAATGCAGAGCCGTGCAGCCGAAGACATCGCGGTGCTCCGGCTGGGCGCTCCTTGGGAGAAGCAGTTGGCCGATCGTCGTCCGGCGGGAGGCGATGGGAAGGTTCAAACATCCCCCAAACCCCCTCTGCGGCATGTGTCGAAGGTTGAAGAAGACCCGATGAATGTTGCGAGGGTGGCTCATGATTTCAGGGGGGCTTCTTAGCCGTTCGCCATTGTGGAAGTGGGGATTGGGAACAAATATGTGTTTAGGATTGTTCATGAGAGGCGGCTGCCGTTTGGGACAATCAATTCTTTGGTGTAAGTTGAGAAACTGTCCATGATTGCCCATTCATGCACAGCCAAGTTACTTGATCATTTCTGCTCGCTTTTCCGCTTCCTCCAGTTGCTCTCTGGCGCGTTGGATCATCACAGGGTTCGTGACGTCAAGCTTGATCTCCAGCGCGCCTGGGGGAGAGGCATTTTAAGAGGTTCTAGGCTATTTAGTGTCCTAGTGGAGGACATTTTTCACAAATGTCCACTCCCAATGAAGATAAACCCCCAAGCTTCGGCGGCATGGGCTGTTGGAGAAGAGAGAAAGTGTTTCGGTGCCACGTTGGGGCCTGACTTGGTTTGACTTGCACCGGTGGCTTCAGGCATTGGATCCATTCCGATCGAACAAACTTGGTCCCGCCTCCACCATTGGCAAATGGGTTGGTCTCAGGGATCTTGTCTTCTGCCTCTCACGTGTGGTCACCCGCCGAACTCTTCCGCATGCGACAATGCCGGATGCTTTATTGAGAGCCACAACGTATTTATTCGAAACGTCCTGCCTGCAGACTGCAGACATTGACACCCTCAACGCTTTCAGATTCAGACACACCAAAAACCTGCTGAGCATGCAGAACTCTATCTTTACATTCATTCAGCTGGGGTCCTCGGATGTCCTCGGCACTCGGCACGGGTGACTAGTGTCCTCTCTATCCCGGCGCTTTACGTCACCCTCTTGCGCTTGCTAGGCCTCGGCCTCAGCTTCTGCTTCCTGATCTTCATGGGTCTCATCATCTTCCACCACTTTCTTCGCAGGGGTGATCATGGGGAGCAACAAAGAGCGTGTCCTGAGTGTGCCATGCCGCAGGCTCAGCACTTCTAGTCCATTAGGGCTAGTCGGCTAGTAGTACTTCTGCAGGACGTGAGTGAAGGCTCGTTTCTGGGAGCTGTAAGAGTCCAACCAACAAACTATGTGAGTGCGGAACGACATCCCTACAGGTGACACGCAGTGATCAGAAATGATTCGGCATCGAATCTCGTCTTTGGAGGTGAGCTAAACCGAAAGCGAGTTGACATCCCTCTTGTCGTCCCTGCGCTCTTCTGCACAGCGAAGGCACAGTGCAAAGCTCACCAACGCAGTGAGCCACGCCAAGAAGTCCTCAGCAGCTTCGCTGCGATCGATATGAAACAAGGTGCTCCCCCCCCCAAGTCAAGCTGGTGGGTTGTCACATTGGTCACTCCTTGTTCACTCCAGGCATGTGAGGATTCCCGGAAATCGTTTCAGCCCAGAATCCTTGCGGAACTCACCCATCACCGAACCGCCAGACCACTTGGTCAGCGTTTGCCAGATCAAGGACCAAATCCAGATCCTCAGCTTCATTGGAAACACAAATCCAATCCATCTACAACACTTAACGAACCACTTCAAGTGACATGACAAGCCTTTCCACCTTTCCAATAGAAGGCACAGACTAAATTAGGTGAGACATATACACGCAAAGTTCCAAAGCCATGAAGCAAAAAGGAAAAAAATATGAAAAGGTCACACCTTGCTCAGTGCCCTATGGGTTTGACCCGGTTGATCCTCCGCTCTCTTGGCGAGTCGAAAACGGCGCCGGGCGTCAGGTCGGCACGGAGAAGCGCGAAGCCTTCCAGCTGCGGCTCCTTGCGGAACTTGGAGCGGTTGGAGTGATGGATTGGCGAAAGAACAAAAGCGACGCAATGTGTTCCGAAAAGTGATGCTGATCATATATGACATCTATATCCTATGATGTCCCTGGAAATCTGATAACCCTAAATACTTTGCAAGGCGAACCATGGAGAACCCGCCCCAATCACCATGCCGGCCCTAGCCACGTGCCTCCGGTGCAGCAAGGATTGCCTGCGCACGGGCCAGACCGACAACGTTCCGCTTCGTGGTTCGTGGTGAGTCCACATGCGGCATCCAAGCTGGTCGTGGTCGTGTCCGGTCAGGTCATCACCTGGAGATACACCCAGCCATCTTGGGAAAACGTCTCCCCACCTCCTCGCTCTTCACCTGGAGCGAAACAAAGGACTTAGATGGGCTCACCGCCTCACCCCGCAAGTAAGAGCTCTTCGAAATGACCCAAAGAGTTGAACTTGATAAACAAGACATGGGATAAGGATGTGATAAAGAAGTTAAACACCTTCGGAAGGCCCGGAAGGATAGGAGGGCGATGTCTGTGTCTAAGCTCGGCCCGACGACTTCCGCACTGGACAGCCCTGTTGATGCGGTCTCCAAAATCCCATCCACGGATCTCGGATGAGACTCTCCATAAATTGGCCACTGCACTTTGGAATCTTATCACTAAAGACTCTTTATCACGATCAGAAGGGCTTCCGAAGCTTCCGAAGCTTCTACCACCGAGTCTCAATTTGGCGGCCCTTTTGAGGCGGTTGGGCTATTGGGCCTGGCCTCGTCGCTTTCGGACAACAAGTCGATGCTGTCGATGCCTTCGTCCAGGCTCTTCGCAGGTTCCTGGGGTCGATACGACTTGGAAGAGCCCGGAAATTCCAAGCTGTTCCAGTCATCCTTGCTTGGACATCCATCCATCCATTTTGGGATATCCTTGCTTGGACATCCTTGCCTTCTTCCGAGTCATCCATCTTTCGTTTTTCAAACGCAACACTTGGACATCCCATCCTTTGCTTCCGTTTCTTGAAGTCTTCATAGCAAGGACCACAAACGAAGGGATCAGGAAGTGTCTGCACGTGGCCAAGCAAGCAGAAAAAACCTCGGGCCACTTGTCTAAACCCTTCTCAGTCCGAGCTTCCTCATGGATGTGGCTCCCGCCCATGACTCTGACAGCACTTTGGAACAAAGCCTGGCGCCCCAATCAAGAACGAAGAGTTGTCTCTCAACATCCCACCAAATGTGGGGAAGCATGGGAAAGACCCGAATCAACAAACTAACTACAGCATTGCAGGCGCCATTGACTAGGTGCTGGGGTGTTGCTGAGGGTATATGCTGGGGAAGACTCCGAAACAAACCCAACAAATACAAACAAGAAGCTACTAGGGGCGCCTGGCATCGCTACTAGGAGCAAGGACGCTACTAGGGGCTCCTGGCCTGCTACTAGGGGCTCCTGGCCTTACTACTAGGAACAAGGCGCTACTAGGAACAAAGAAGCGTATGGCCCAAGATCTTTGCGTTTTACATTCCATTTCCCCAAGCGTAGCTCCAGACATCTTCGCCGTCGGCCTCGCTTTGGGCAGGAGCTTCCTCATCTCCAATAGCTACAGCTACAACCAAGGCCTCGGTCGGTCGCGCACCGCATCGACCAATAGGGCCCACAGGTCCTACAGGGTTCACTGTTGCGCTAGGCCAGGGTGCTCCCAGAATCAATTGTCACACACTCCGCAAAGGAATGTGTTTAAAAAGAACAATGTAGACTCTTGATTAATAAACCCCCTCATATGAAGAGCATGTCCAATTCAATTGGGAGGGTAGAATAGAAAAGAAGAGCCCAAGTGGCGGCTTGTTGTGAGATGTTTTTGAGACCTTCGTTCTCGACTTTGCGTTGGGACTGTCGGTCCCGGACTCCGGACCCAACGAAAGAACCCAGCCCTGCCGGGCGCCCCGTGCCACGATGCGGAGCATCCTCCTTGACGCTGACCCTCACGAAGTCCTCCAAGCAACGACTCAGGCCGTCAAGACCAGTATGCCATTGAAGTGCATTTGGAAGGGGGGCAAGTCACATGGCCTAATCCCATGAGCATCTTTGGCCTGACCTCTGTGAACGTCCTAAGTTCCTACAAGTAAAGCCTGAAACTCCATCCAGCTTCATCACATTACCTTTTGGATCTCTGGCACCAACAAGTACAACAAGTGCAAAGAATCCGTGCCCTGTCCCCGGCCCCCACCTGTGTCGCACGCCGTTGGCTAGGTTGGTTTTCCGACGCCGATGGGGCCAACACAGCTTCCAAGGCATGCAGGCGTTGGGTTTCAAACTGACAATTGCTCCTACTCCTTCACCCCCTTACGTCAGGTTTCAGGTTGCTGGGTGGTGATATATGCTTTGCTTTTTCATTTCCAGTGACCTATGCCACATCCAGACAAGAATGGAGTTGAACTCGGATATTTTTAGATGTTTGATGGCACTTTGTCCGACAGGCTTTGCTCGCGTTGCATGAGCCTCCCCCCCCATAAACTTGTACTCATACACAAATTGTCTTTCTTTTTTTTCAACAGCTTTCCTCTTCAATCCCGTCACCATCCGTTCTCACTCGCTTCCACAATATGGGACAACGATAAGCATTCCACGGTGTCTCATCCTTTGAAGTCCGAAAGTGTCCTTTCGGTGTAGCACCGCTGTCGTCCTGTAGCGCTGTCGTCTCACTTGGAATCTGGAGCCTCACACTTTCCTGTGAAGGATGGTGAACAACAATCAAAGTTGTTCACAATGTTCACATTCAATGTGAGATTGACGAGTTTTCTGCGAGTTTTTAGAGCCTCAGCAGCTCAACTCCCACCCTGTCATTGCCACTCCCCGTCATTGCCACTGGGCTCCCCAACGTCTCTTTCGCTGGCGGCGCCTACCGGCGTGCCGTGTCCATGTCAGTCTGGAGGCGGATACTGCCAGGAGACGGAGAGTTCTTATTAACTCTTGCATCAGGATTTGGGATTGAACCTGCCGGACTGGTTAGAGGTTGCTACGCCAAGCGTGGCGCTCCTTCAGCTCCGTGTCCTGCTTCACTTGCATTCCAAAGGGTCCAACCTCAAAACACGGCACACGACAGTGTTCCGCAAGCATTCCACGGGGCAACCAACGAAGCTTTTGTGCAAAAGGCGTTCCGTCGTGTTGCCATAGAACACCGCCATGACTGGAGCCCGACAGCCCAACAACCTTTACTCAAGGCCCAGGCCCAGGCGGAGCCGACCTCACCTTGTGGCGGGGCCTCGGACCCAAAAACACGAAGAGCAAGTGAAAAACGGCGAGTTTGGGCTAACAATGACCGCCTTCACGACGATCGTGTTCGCTCTTCCCCGTCCAGTTGGTCCACCATGGTCCACCTGCTGTATATATCAGGTCCTCTCAGGGGTTGTCCTAGTCACGGCAGGTTTAAAATTGTTCAAGCGCAAATGTTCCAATCCAACAGCTGCAGTGTGCCAAGGCCTCCGTCCAAACTCCCAGCCCCTGAGGCCCATGCGGACAAAAGCGCCTCCCACGTCAGGCCTGAGAGTGGTCCCAGCGTGAGCAGAATTCACAAAGAACTCACAGAGTGCTGTCCAAATAGCTTTGCGTTATCAGACTCTGATGCCAATAGCCTGGGGACCAAACCATCTTCAATGACGTGGCCGCGGCGTTCCTGCAAAGTTGCCGTGTCTGACGGAAAATTCATGCAGGTCTGCCGCATCTGCCTGGTCTGCCTGCATGAAGCGAAATAGAATCACAAACGCTTTTCTGAGTCGTTATCCCCACCGAACTGAACACATCTTTTTCCACAGGTCACTGGGTCATGGCGGTGCCGTAGTGACTACCGTTGTGCTTGAAACTCTCCTGCGGGCTTGCTGGGAACAGCATCACTTACATCCCACAGTTCTTGGAATTAACGGGCATACTGGGCAAACTGGGCAAAGAATGGAGATTCATTTGCGGCATCACTGTACAAGTGCCAGTTCTCCGACTTTGCTCAGAAACGACGCTTCTTCGAGAGCCATTTGCGGTGGAACTTCCAATCACGCAGGGTCTCATTGAACTCCGCAATGGCATCCGTGAAGTATGTGTCCTTGACATCCACACCATCCGTCTCCAGTAGCCAATTACCACCAGCCGCCGGATTCCCCGTCATCTCGGTGGACGCCGCCACATTGATGCCCGACTCCTTCTCCAGCTCCTGGAAGACCTTCATGCCGGTGGGACCGGCAACACACTCACAAGCCAAGATGTCGACACGTGCATCTGCTGTGAGGAATGGCTTGAGTGCAGCCAGAAACTTCAAATTGGCCTCCTTGTGTTCTCCGGTCATCTCGGAACCATGAAACATCCACCCCACATGGGTCAAAGACCCTTCAGGTACTTCGGCGGCCTTGAGAGCATCAACCAAGTCATCTGACAAAGTATGCTGCTCTTTGGATGGGTAGAACAATGAGAGCACACCCTCCTTCGCCGCATTGGCTGCCAAAGGCCATGAGAGAATTCCATCGCTGATCCAAAGCAGCACCTTTTCACCAGCACATTTTCGGGCAGCTAACTTGGGCTTCAACTCCTCAGCCACTGTCTTCCACTTCTTCTCCTTCTCGATTTGAAGCAACGTCTCATTGGTCGCCTTCTTCACCGCTTCATCCACGCGCTGTTGCTCCTCCTCCGTGAGCTCCGAAACCTTCAGAGTGCTCTGCTCCTCCTTGGGAGGAGCTGAAGCACCAGAGCCCATGACTTCCACGGCGCGGCGTCCGTCCCTCGGAACCCTTTGAGCCGAGCTGTCTCACATGAATCAACGGATTTTCCTCTGAAGGTGGATGTCTCTAAAATCATGTGAGTGACTCTCTGAATCTCTCTCTCTACCTCCTTCACTCCGCTTGAAAACAAGCACTCTCCAGCCTCCCAATCTATCATCCTAGGCCCAAATTGGCCAACTGTCCACTTCTTCCAGCCCTGGTTTTTCCCGAACCGCCTCACGGTAGTAGCCCAAACCCATTGGCCCCAGCTTGAAGACCCAGCCAGGCCGCGCGCCTAAAGGAGCGAACGTTGGTCACCCATTGGTCAGCCTCTTCTCCTTTTACATTTGGGTCGTGATCTATGTTAAATCGAGAACAGACACATGGGTGACAGAATGACAAAGCTTTCTGGTCACAGTTCATCTGGCTTCACAAATTTATTCATATGGTCACAGAATTCCGGACAGGCCATCTCACGGGGGGCTCCAAGGAAAGAACACCTCAGAGAGTCGTTGAGAGAGAGCATGAGGGCACCCCGTTGACCCTCTGTGCCTGTGAAATGAGCCGAAGCTGCGAACCCGGAGTCGTCCTGGGCGAATCATGGCGGTCTCATCTTCCGTAAAAATCACAAAAGCCATACAAGCGCTCTGCAACCAAATTGATAATATATGATGGCAACCACATTGAAGCGTGCTAGACTCCTAGACATGAGGCACTGCTCTACACGTCGAGTCATCAGGTATGGCTCTGGTGCCTCTGCCTGAGGTAGAACAGTGGAGCTTGCGGGCTGCGGTGGCGCCCTCGGTGCCAAGGGGTACAAGAAAGCCATGGCGCATGGTGCTCATGGAAGAGTTCCTTTTTTCATGCATGTGTTCGGAGTTCCGATTTTCGCCCATACCTTTAAGGAATCCTTTTCCAGATCTTCAGACGAGGGACAAGAATTGCAAAGACTGCTGCTTGCAAAAAAAAACTCTGGACCAAGTACCCCGGCGTCTTTTGTGGCGGTGCCTGGATGACGACTGAATCACCAGACTGGCAAGCAACACCACACGACAGCAATCCTCTGCTCCGAAGCATCTCCCTTGCTTTCCCAATCACCCTCCCCGGCCACCAGCCTTCGGTTCGGAGCTGGTCCTGCCCCAGAACACGGCCCGCCAACTGGCTCCAAGAGTAGCACTCACTGTTACACCGCTACAGTTCTGAGCTCACCGATTCACATGCTTCCCTCCTCGGTGTCGAAAGCTCGGCTGCCACCACGTGGTCTGGATCGACCCCATGTTCCGAGCACAAGGCCTCCCAGGTGTCGACTGTGGGGGTTACGGTGACACCCTCATCCAGGCAAAAGGAAATGGTGGAACACGTAAAACGGTGGAACCATCTGTTTAATGGGAAGTTGGCATTCTATTTCGTTGATCTTACCACTGTATGCAATTCCTTCTCCCCAACACCGGCAATCAAGCCGCAGAGTGGTGTTGGTTCTTCTCACTGGGCTAGAGGTCTAGAGGCTACAGCCGCTCGCCTCTTCGTTGCGAGCCAATCCCATGTCAATGGCCTTCTTGACTGGAATGATCAACCTCAAACTGGGAGACAGGTAAGGTCTCTAATTACTTCTACCCTGCGATCAACGACATCATCGGGACTTGAAAAGCCGTGGACCTCCAACTCCGTGGTTGTTGATCCCTGTCACACTCAGTGGCGCTTGGTGGCACACCCGCGCGTTTTTGGGGCCTCCGGGCGTTCGCAGCGCATCTCCGATGAAGGCCTCTGGGATGTCGGACCTCGGGGCCCGATGCCCGTCGGACCCTCTCCAAACGACCCCGCTCAAAAGCGACCGTCTCCTGCCGCCAGCGAGGAGGTCCACAAAGGCTCGTCCGAGCCCTGATGGGACAGATACATAAGGTGATAAGGGCCTCCTCCTCCCACCTGAGGTCCGCTCTTCAGCTTGCTGACCACCCGGCCACCCAGAGTTCAGCAGAGTAGTGATGAATGACGGCAAAGGACCTATAGGGTTAAGGTTGCTTTCGAGTTGCAGTCTGACTTTCAACAGTCTCAAAGGGTCGTCCCAGTATTGAATCTGTATCACACAAAGAGTAGCGAGTTTCCAATTCACGATGCTAGAGATCCAAAGAATGTTCACGCTGTGCGCAGCCCATCCGACCAGGCCTGGTAGCAGTAGGTCTCTCCTAAGCCTCAGAGTGACCGCCGCTGGCGGCGGGCAAAAG